TCACGGATTTTTGATTGAATTACAACCCATCGCGTAAACATATACTAAAGACGAACTTTCAAAGAGGAACTTAAAAAAATTGTTAATTTTGATAAGATTTTAATAATTTAGTTGAAAAAAATCATCTCACTGATAAAATTTTTTATAAGTCCTTAATAGTTACTAAGACTGAATTAATATTTGGTATTCTTTTTTCTTCTAATAACTCGCACCATTCCTAATTTGATTAGCTCCAGCGGATCTATTAGTTGCAAAATTTCCATTCCAGTAACAAACTTGAAGCAGTAAACCAGCTAAGTCCATATTCATTGCTGCATTAGCTTTTCTTCTCATCGCGTTGTATTAATATTTCAGTGGAAACACTATCTGTTCTGCACTAAACGTGTTTAAGCGTGGATTTCGATTAATCCCCGCGGTTTATCGAAATTTCATGTTTCATGAAATTCCGTCTCAGTTTTCTCCTCCTTCATCCCATTCCTTCTTCAGTATTTATCGCCAGTCAGTTCATATAAATTCGACGAGGAGAAAGCTGAAACCATTTGCCTTTAAGAAGTACAATATTTTCACGATTGTTTAAAGCAAAAAAGAAAGCTCTTTCTTCGTTGTTTTTTTCTGATCACCAATCTATCAATGAATATATTTCCACAAATTTTGATTTATTCCGGGAAAAAAAGGATTTCGTTCAGATTTCCTCTATTTATTGCAATATTTGTTATTCATTTTTTGCAAAATTCTAATGCGATTATTCGATTATTTTAAGCATTAGCGCATTTATAAATAATTCGAAATCTTCTTGTTTATCCGTTATTGGTCGAATAAGTAAGTAAGTGTTCGGCATTCTTTACGACTGGAAGTGCGGGTGGATCGCCAGCACCGCCAGGATTTTCAGACTTGCTTGTATCTTTGGTGAGAATTAACTTGTCACCAAAAGCACCATGAGGTTCGAATGGCGTCCAGTACGATATTAAAGCTATTCTTTGATGAAACTCGTTCCACTGGTTCCGAGAATGGCGAAAAATTCTTAATGGAGAGTCAGCAGAAAGATGAGTGCGTCGTCAGCTGCGCCTCGATTTTTAAATGTCGGACTCAATTTCTGCTTGGCTTCCGAACGTTGAGGCTCGAGACGGTTATCCGAGCAATAGTCATTTGATCAGACTCGTTCATTTTTTATTCTTTAAATTAATATATCAAATGAGAGAAATTTGTCGGCTTTCTTATTGCTTATCACTTATCAATTTTATATTCCTTTTTATGCGTTAAAATTGCGAATGTTCCCACTTATCGCCGTTCGCTTATGTTTTCCGTTCTGCGCGATACCGTTTTTCTTGCTCAGATTTCCTCTTTCCTTTAACGCTCGCCATTTTTGCTTTGGTTCGCTTGGCCAATTACTGGGTTGGGTGGGACTCGCTAGTTACTTCGAAGACGAGAGGAAGGCGCTCGGCTCCGTGGCGCCAGCCGGATTTTCGCTTTAATGATGTTTCTCTTGAAACTGAATTCCCATTGGGAACTTTTCTTATTTTTCATATTCGTCAAAATTGATAATTAATATATCAATATTAATTATCAACAATGCACTTTGATAATTTTGATAACACTCAGGAAACTTTTATTTCTGCTTTATTTTTTTGTTTTGCCAAGTTTAATTTTAATTTTCGCTTGTTACCGTATTTTCTTGTCGTTCTCATCGTGTTAATGTTATCTTTTTAATATTTCCATGTGAAAATATTCTGGAATATTTTGTGGATTCTTTCGGTTTCAATTTCTATAAATAATGCTTTTGGCATAAAATATAAAGAAGGGATCGATATGGCAGCTTAGTTCTCTTTTTCATCTCTTGCTTCGCTTGTCTTGTTGTTGGCCGTAAGATTGTTAAGAAATGAGGAATGTCGCTGTTAGTTTGTCCGTCATCTCATCGTCGTCGTCCTCGTTCATCTGTATTGATGTTTTTTGCAAATCTGTTGTTGGACTTTCGTTATACTTTCCCTCTTTTCGCACAATTTTTTTTTTCAAATCGGTTTGATAATCTTAAAGAAGATTTCTTTGAAATGGTTAAATTTAGTGCCAGCAGCAATGTCTGTGGCAGTGTAGCATTCGTTGCTAAGTTCATCGTTTATAAAATATTATTAAAATATTGTTGCTTTTTATTTATCATCGTATTTCCTCTTCCTTTTCAAACAACCGCTAATCGTAGGCCTTTATGCCTTTCGACTGCAATTTACACCCTAAAGCTTGAGGCTGCGGTTCTAATTGTAGTTGTTATCTGCAAAGTGAGATTTAACTGCAGTTCCTCTGATCATAATTTCTCAAGTTAAACGGCCTGATTTTGTTATCATTTTCTCTTCATTCTGCAAAATTTTGGGATTTCTCTTTCCCTCACTGAGTAATACTGTAATGTTCCTATGGAAATTACATAGCTGCAGCAATCAATCGGCCAATATTTTTGCTTGTAAAATGATTATTCCTATTATAATGTATCTTCGACCGTAAAATATATAATTTTGACAAATATGTTCAATAAATTAAATAGATATTTCATTTAGGAATACATATACAGCCAGTCTGTTCCATTTTTAATAGTTCTAATTGTATGGGAGTTTTCATAAAAATTATTTTTTCCTTTGTTCTACCAATTCAACTATAATTAGCAATATTATTTATTATATTGTTCAACTTTCTCAGTATTATTCATTCACTCTCAGTGATTCCATAAATGATTTATTATATTTCTTCTCGTGAGATTTTAAGAATTCGAAACTATTTTGATTTTATTTATTGTTATTTTAGTTAAAATTTAAAAGAAGTTAAATTTAAAAATAAAATTTAAAAACAAAAATAAAAATTTCAAATCAAAAATTACTGGTTTATTTTAAAAATATTTCCAGAAAATTGTAATTAATTTTACAAAAAATTAATTTTTTTATTTTCATCATCTGTTATTTATGATTCGTTTTTAAAATAAAATTCCTTTTTCTAAATTTTTTCACAAAATTATTTTTGAATTTTGTCTTTTTATCATTTTATCATTTTTTGTGTAATTTTAGGGGCTTTTATCATTTGCTTTTTCACTTAAGCATTACACTTAATTCTATTTTCATTCAGTGGCGTTTAATTCATTGGACTGAAAACGAATTGAAGCTTATTCAACTAAAAATTGAAATTTATCGTTTTGAAATTTATCGTTATTGTAAATCTTTATTAAAAATTAAATTAAACATTAAATTTTAAATCTCAGCTTTTGGAAATTTTTTTTCAATTTCAGATTTTTTGGATAATTCGGGACATCAGAGAAATTATTTGTTATCTCTCGCATTATCTTATTTATTTATGTATTTATATTTATTTATAAATTTTAAAATTTTAATTGAACACGTAAAAACAATTTTTATCGATGATTTATTTTCAATAATGGATATTACTTATGAATATTTTTATTTCAATTTATTCGTCTTAATTTAGAATTAGAATAATTATTTAAATAGATTTACTAAGAACAGACACCTTGTCTGTAAAAGCCAATTTTTGCAATTCATAACGCCTATAGCGGTAGTTATAAATTTTCTTTTTCCCCGGACTTATTATTTTCTTAACATTTTATTTGTAAAAGTGGTTGATTTGCGACGATAAGCTTAAAATTCGAGTTGCATATTGCTGTAAATGAGATAGAAAAACATGGAACCTCTGGACCTGAATAAACTTGAAAGTGAAAAGTGAATTGAAAGGTGAAAATGATTATTTTCTGTCCGGAAGAGACTTTCTTGCGAAAAATAATTAATGGAGTTCGTCAAATGGTGAATGATGGTGATGTCATGGTTGAAATGGTTGCTAAAATTATTAAAATTATAAACATTTTTGGTCATTTTATGAATTATTTCTTTATTTATAAATAAATTAAGGTGAACATAAAACGTGTACTGGTTTTAGCAATAATAAATATGAGTATTTTTTGAAAAAAACCAAAATTTTTGATGAGTTTTGGAAGAAAAACGTTGTTTGCTGAAAGTGTGTATAAAAATTTGGTGAAAACTCATTTAACAGATCTCATTAGTTATAACTTTTCTAGCTTTTCAGCAACAAATTATTTTATCTTTTTTGTTTAATAAATAAATAATGATTTATATCGTTAAAAGTAATCAGTCATAATCATATCAAACTGAATCGAAACAAGAGACAGCTGTTCGACATTTTTTTTATATTCGATCGATTGTTTCGAGTTTCACTAATTTTCTATAAAGATTTTTTTAAGATTTAATAAATTTATAAATTTTATATTCATTTTCTATATTTTTAAATATATTCTATAATTTTTTAGGTTTATTTTTGTCAATTTTTGCGTCATAAAATATCATTCTCATTTAATTTTCGCAATTTAGTTTTTTTTTTAAGAAAATGTCTACTGAAAGAAAAAAAGCGATTTATTTATTTTATAATCTAAAATATGGATTTAATATTTTTATGTAATAAATTTAGATATGAAAACTACACAGCTGGTTGTATTTAACGAGATAAATCCATTCACTATTTTTATAATACTGCCATCACTATGAGGCATATGGCCAATTTTGATGTGAAATGCTTTATTCCTAGTAGAAAATCAATTTTCACTGTGGAAATTGCTTTGAAGAAAAGAAACAGTTGGTAGTTAAATTGGCCACTGCAAAAAGGCCTTTAAATCTCTAAATAGGTTTTTTAATTAAATCTATCTATTTTAATCCCAAAAATTATTAAAATATTAGCTTATTGTAGTAGTAATGACTGTTTCTTATCCTTAATAGTACGAGCTGATTTCACTGTTAGGAAGAGGCCTTTATGTGGCCCCTTCGTCAGAGAGTGGCGAAAAAGTGTTATTTGTATAACCGCTTTCGTTTTTAAAGACAACTCAGTTTTTATCAAGAGGCAAGGATCGGAGAGGAATACAATACTGCTTACTCCATTGGTGAACATGAAAATTCGTACTAGGATAACTTGGAGTTCAGTAAACTGAGGTGAGATGGTGAGGTGGTATGTTAAGGTTAAGCATTGCTTTTCTCGTCTCTGCTTTGAGAGGAGTGAATCAAAAGGAGAAATCTGGTGATGAGGACGAGCGTGTACTTTCTGTTTTTCAGCTTGCTGCATTACTTGTTAAGCTTGGCTCTCTGCATATAAGGTTTAACCTAAGGCATTTCCAAGTTACTCGATCTGATGCCTTTCCTGAGAGTGATTGAAGCCACTCCTTTTTCCAGTTTCAAGCCCATATCATTCGGCTATTTACATCTTGAAAATCTCTTCTCCATCCAGGTCTTAGTTGGTGCTCTTTGCTTTTGAAGCTGTCCATCATAAGGTTTAGCGAGACGCCAGTTTCTGCGATTGTTGGCAAAAAACATGGCCTAATCAGTTTAGACGACGTATGCTTTTAGTGCAGATGCTATTTAAACGAAGATGGATGGTTGTGAGATTTTATCCTCTCGACGAGCACATAAAATGTCCATGATCAAAGGTATATAAGCTTCTTAATGCCTTCCACTCTTATTGGCTAAATTTGCAATTATATAGTGCTATGTGCATTGCAGCCAGATATACCACATATATGCGAATTTATAATTTCATAGAGGCTTTGCCCGGCCGCATTCCTAGCTGCTGTTATCCGGATTTCGTTTCTTGTTGTCGGTTTGGTACAAACCGAATTCAAGCCACATTTGAAGTCTATCGTTTCCTCAGTCTGTGATGAATTAATTAAAATGGGAATTTTGTCTGATACATTTCATCTTTTTTATACTCCAATTTTTGCTGCAGTTATTGATAAACTTTCGAGTATTTTTTGCATATCTTCCTAACTATCACCAAAAAGGATCGCGTTATCAGCATATTCAGGATGTGTAGTACTATGCTATGGACGAATTTTGTGGTGACGGTGTCTATAACCCAGTTATTCGCATTGTCGAAAGGGAAAGGACGGAGTCTGATAGTAATAATTATTTCGAAAGTAATTCCCCATGCATTGATCTCTACTGATGTACGTTGGTGAAATACCTGAGTTGAACGATCTTTTCTGGATACCGTCGCATTCTTCCAGAGCGCCGGTCTACCAACTGAATCGAAGCGATTAAATTAATGAAACAGGTGATGTGTTCCCGATTTATTACTCTTTTTAGCGTAAATATTTGGTTACTACATCCGCTGTTCGGTTTGAATCCAGCTTAATTAGAGCTACATCTTACTGCCATAAGTCGATTCAGTAGAAAGGAGGCGAAAATTTTCCCAGAGAATCCTCCAAATTTCTTTATGTTTCTATTCACAACACGTTTTATTATTTCTTCTTGGAGATTGGAAGCAGGATTATTTTTATCTAGTATTAGTTCTTTCTTCATATCTGATGGTACATTTGTTGAAGGAAGCACCTTGGATAATATATGAAGAATTTGATAGGAAGACCGTCTTATCCAATAGTTTTATTTGCCTTAAGCTTCTGAATGACCGACATTTTTCTTATTTTGTGGGCGATGAACATTTCTGAATAATAGGTATGTCCTGAATAATAGGTGGCATGTCGTGGCTAAGTCTCAAAGGATTTCCTCCATCTTACAAAACGGCTCTTGAAAGCTCTGTCAGGCATATTTACCTCGGATCATTTCATTGATCGTTTAGAGCGGTGTTATTGGCTTTTTGGCTCGAATCATAACATGGTTAAGTCAAGGATGACTATCTAATAAGAAACTCTTCCAATGGCGATTGGTCAAGATTTGATCAATCTCCATAGAATTTTGGTTACCCAGAGAATTATATGTAACCAAGTGTTTTCTCCGATGCCTGATTATGTAGGAAAAAGCCCTCTCGACAAAGCGAAAAAGCCCCTTCTGTTGATACTCAAGATTCAGAGCCATATTTGCCAATCATGGAGTCTACTATGACATCTTCATAACCTAGATATGATTGTAATCTCCCCCCGATTTCTCTTTGAGCGCAAACGGTTTGATCGTCACCTGGCTTTCAGAGCGGATCGAACGGATCGAACAGTTTGCAGATGATCATCTGGCTCGCAATTTCTGAGCATTCCATGTTCTACAGCCGACATCTCGCCGCATGTGCAGCTGACAGATAACTGTTCGTTTCTCTCGACAGGTTTCGAGCGCTTGCCCTGATTCGAGAGGTCTCAAGCCTTGGAATCCTTTCCACTCGGAGTTGCACCATACTTTTATCCACTTCTACTCTGTCCTGAGTGATTCCCATCATTTTAATGAAGCTAACCAAAAAATCAGAAATAATATCAACTGAATGCCAATTAGAGCTTTTTGTTGCCATATGAAATTGTTTGTTTTATTCTGGCGGAATGCCATCGATATCGCTTAGTTGTGCGTGAAAACAAAACCATTTTTAAACATAATTATCATTCGAACATATTTTTCATCGAGATTAGTCCGAAAGCCTTTTCGAAACCTTATTTTTTCTCCGTCATCTCCCAGTATTAATCAAATATGGCTAAATTTAAATATAAAACCATTGATTAATTGCAAATTTAGCGAATCATTGTCCAATTAGTGTCGCATCAGTTCGAAATTTTTTCTTTCCTAGAGCTCTCACCATCGATGGTTGGGTTTGCACCGCTGGCTTGTCGGACGGAATCCGCCGCGAGTTACTTGGTGATAGAAGGGAAGAATTTTTGAAAGGCAGTTATTATTCCAGCGTAGAACCTGCCATCTCCAAACTGGTCAACACTGAACCATTCTAATCATTTTTGCTTTACGAGTTCAATGATATTACCGCTGGACGAAACGTGGTGCGTAGGCCGAATCCGAACATAAGCCATTATTGATTCTAGATGGCAATCTTCTTGCCATTAAGCCACCCGTTCAGCTTGATCTGAAATAATTAGCCTATTTATTCCCTTAGTTTCTTAAATTTATATAATTTCTTTTATTGGTTTCTTTCTGCGACTTATAAAAGTTTAGATTTTTATATTTAACTTTTTAAACCCGCGTTAGACCATTCGACCCTTCGGTGATTCATCTTGTATGTAATATAGGCATAATCAGGAGGAACAATAATGTGGTGCTATTCCACAAATCCAAACTTTTACAAGTCGCAAAGTGAAACCAATAAAAACCGTTCTCAGATGAACGATAACTTTACATCCGATTTGTGGCCGATTTTATAGTTGAGATTTTGATATGAAATAAATTATTTTTATGCAATTAAAGAGTCTTCGCTTCGAAATTTATCATTTAGAACGGCTTAAAGGCAACATTCTGCCATAAAAATTGCCAAATCATTTCTTCTTTCTTGGACAAATCACCAAAAACGAGAAAAATAAATTGACGATTTAACAGTTTGCCAGTAAAATCGACGTTATTGGTTCTTATTTAGCACATAGAACTCATTAACTCATTTTGCCGGATTGTGCATAAATTAAGCTTTGAGGATTTTTTGGGCAAAAAATCGGAATTTTGCTATTATAATTTCCGACCTTCTGAGTTATAATTAGTATGAATGCAGCATATGGCCGCTGAACCAGAATAGTTAAATTAAATTCTACTTATTGAATGTAATTGTGGCGAAAAAGATAAAAGAGATTGTAAACAATCAACCAATTTGTTTTGATATTTTTATATTTATATTATATGTTTTATTGTTTATTCGAAAAATCTGAACGAAATTGATCGTTATCATATGATCGACAGAGATATATTACGTAAATATTTTTGTTATTAAGAAATTTCGGTGAAATTTTTTTCAATTGTGTCCTAACTTATCAGCTTATCAGTATGAAGATAGAGGTCTTTCAATTAAGATCAAATCTTGATACAATTCCTATTGTTTAACGGGAGTGAATCTGGCTAATGCTGAGACCGACATTACTTTTGTTCTAACAACCAGTAGAGTCAGCCAAGTGGTGAAAGTTGAATGTCTAGAAGAACAAGAAATTTATTGGTATCTTTGTTTCGCATATTTATGTTGAAGAAGATATCCGTTATGGGAACAATGAGTTTCCCTTGAATTTTAATTGATCCATATGACACTTTATGAATTTTCAATATTTTTATTTATCTTATAATTTTAATGAAAAAAGCTGTGATAAAGATCTATTTTATGACTTCATTTTATATTTTTGCTCGAAAAGTTATGTTACTATACAAATGAATAATATTATTTAAGCCCAAACGCACCACCGAATCGAGTAACCGTAATAGCGGAGCGGTCAGAAATGCCAACATCCATTCTTCCACCCGCACAGGTGGATGGAACTGGAAGTGCTCCTGTCAGTCCACCTTTGCCTGCTTTGGTAAAGTAAGTTGTTATTTAAAAACTGTTTTAACACTGTGTTTCGTCACCAATGAGATGGTTATTGTGAAGGAAAAAGTAAACAATCACGTTAATACGATGTGCTGTTTAATGTTCTGTTAATATTTCTTATTTAATCCAGAAGGATGGAAAATGAAATGGAAAATCCTTTTCGTCCTGAGGACACTCTTTTTCATGAAGTTGATCCAATCGTTGAAGCATATAAAAGGAAACCTTATCCACCATCACTGCCCGGATCACAAAACGCTTCTCCTATAAAGAATGGCAATCAAGCTTTTGTTAATGGTATATTTAAAGGCAACTCATTCTTTCTTTTATGAATATTTATTAGGATAAGAGCATCTACTAATTATTATTATTATCATATTATTATATTATTTCTATATTATTCATTATTGTTAATAATTACTATTATTATTGTTATTATTATGGTGCATGGTGATACATTTCCATAAAAGCTAAAATGCTGCTTGCTATTAGAAAAAAATTTTAATTTCATTGTATTTCAAATATATTGAAGTATTTTAACTTTAATTATAGGTCTTTCACCATCTTCTTTAATGGCAGAAAAAGAATTTGAGAAGACAGTAACAGAAACAACACCATTAACGGATGTAATGAGAAATGGTCCAGCAATTGATGATTTGCCCAAAGCCAGTCAAGTCGAATGTGTTCGCATCGAAAAACGAAAGTGCGGTTGCTGCAGTATACAATAGTCGGTAATTGCCCCCTTATGAACGCCTTATGATAAGGCTTAACTTAAAATGAATTGGCTGCTTTCCACTTTTTTCCTCTTATAATCATCGTAAGTGGATGGAATGAATTATAAGAGATGGGATTTCATAGAATTATCGGTATCTAAACTGCTAAATTTTTTTGTTTCTGAATTTTAACCACTAATCACTATGGTTTTAATGCTTTATAATAATCTCAAACTCAGCTTCTTTGGCTTATTTGTGATCGAAACATATTGCAAATCTAATAATTCTTTGGAAAATATTGCTCTAATATCTGCCTTGATCTATAAATCACAAAAAACTGTAGGTGCATCAACATCAAGAATTTAAGATGGCATGGCCTCTTTTATTTTTTATCCATTGATTGTTGGCTGATAAGAGATAATGCATAACGTCCTGCAAGATAGATATAAAGAAGTATATCCTTCAGCTTCAATTTCTCTGTACTGATTAACGAAATGTTATCATTTTAATATAAATTTTTGATGTTAAATTTTTTAAAAAAATTTTTGATAGTGGTACTTGCTGCTGCATTTATATTTGCCATCACTAATCTGCTTGATTATTGGCAAATTTATTAACTCATATTAAGTTAAATAGCACGTCATTTTTTGGTAACAGCCTACAAGCGGAATTTATAAAATATATTCGCGCAGTCCTTTGCATGAGCTGTTTAAATTCTATAAAAAATTTATATAATGAGCCAACTGTCGCTTTTTAATCGATAATCTAACAGAGATAGAAGATAAAAAGTATTTTGAAGAGACTAATCGCTGAGCAGTGAACAACAACAGTTTTAACTGTTATAACCATAATTATCCTCGTAATAACAAATATTCTTAAGAATACTCGTAATACTACATATTCTTCTGTGCAGATGCAAATAAGACAAAATCCACATTAAGGAAGAGATTAAAAATAATTGGGGCGAGACTAATCGGGTATTTAGGCAGCCAATACACAAAATACGCAAGCATATCCCGATACATTTGGAAAGTCTTTCTCTTCATCCTAGGAGTTTCGGCAGACAACGTAATAGTTTCATGAATTGAATCTTGAATCTATTATTTAGAAGATTTTTAAGCAATATTGGAATTTTTGCGAAATTTTGCTCAATTATTCGATAAAATTCCCGTAAATTCCTGGCAAAAGTCAAAGTATTAGTCAGATTTGGGAAATTTTCATGTCTATCATCGTATTATTTCGTCGTCGTTTAGGAAATTCTACAGGCATCGTCACAAAATGTGATCGTTTCGCTCGAAATTTTAAATAGAAAAGTCCAAAGTTGAGAAATCGAACATCAGGATTACCACTTTCGATAATGATTGTTGCATTTATTATATCCGATACAAGTCACATTGAAATAAGCCAAAAGGCAATAAGGCAGCTAAACTAATCTTGCTAAATCAGTTTTTTTCATTGTAAGGATATCAAGCTCACTTTTATAGTACTTTATCATCAATTCTTTCTCATATACTGCAAATTGTGATCCGTAGATTTATCACTTTTATCCAGAATCAACGGATATTTTCTTTGCATTAGTGATTATCTTCGCAAATTTTTCTTCCTATACAGCTTTATGCTTTGTCTTCTTTTAATGGATTTTCTTTGTGTTTGAAATGAAAATGATCCTTCTTCAAATTTGATTTTTAGATTTCATTTTTCTCATTTTTCCCATATATATATTTGTGTTTGTTTTTTTATTTAATGGCGTATTTTATATATTTCTTTTTAAAAATAGGATAATCGACAAAAAAAGAAGATATAAAAAGATATAAAATTCGAATAAAGATTCCGACCAAAAAAGCGAACAGCGAAAAACAGCGACGAAATTTATAAAAATAAAATACGCCTTAATGTACGTTGCAATTTTTTTTCGTTTACTCTTTTCTTTTTATATTTTAATAATGATAAATAATGTTAAATAATAATAGTGAAGGTTATCTCGGTTTCTACGAAAAAAAAATAAAGTGCTTTCGTTTATGTTTCGCATGAGAATTTTTGTTTGGCTTTTTTCTTGACTTATTCGCTGGTATTGCTATTAAAAATAATTTGTTTTTTATCTTGTGATCGCGCCTTAATAAAAATTTTGTTGCTATTTTCGAATTTCTCGGATACGTCGGTCATGCACCGCCGTGTGTATAGTGATTTTTTAGCGATAATATTTAACGATATTTCTACTGATATTCTAACATTAAATGAGTTTTGCAAGAGGGATTTCACGCTAAGCAAGAAGCAATCAGTGTATGAATAGAAGTTTTATTATAATTACTATTACAAACCATTTATTCCAACTAGTTTTCCGCTAAAAAAACGTTTAATTGTACCTCGAATTGTACTTCGCCTCTTTTGTATCGCAAAACTCCGCAAATGTGTAAATGTAGCGACGTGTCTGACTGAAATAAGATATAGCTTAGCCGAATTTATTATCGGAAAATGCAACATAATTAGAAGGAACTGCCAATAATTTGACTGCGACAAGGTAAAATTGAATGAAATGAAATGAGAAATGAAAACTGAATATAATAAAAAGATTCACGCAAATCTCTCATGGAAGTTCTGCTGTATTTGCTATGCCCAATTTTTAAGGAACACAAATATAAATATACCTTGTTTTAAACAATTTTATTCCAGAAGATTATAATAAAAAATATTTTACAAACGCAAAAATTTTAATCATAAAATCATGATCGTAAATAAATACATAAAAACAATTCGGGTAATCTTCGTTAAACCAGCAATAAATTTTCACTGAATCAATCCGACGTTCGAATCCGACGATTGGCGATATGCTGATCCTTGAAGTGATTGCAAAATGTGCGTATTCAGCTATCACCTACTACTACCAAATATTTTTGCGCATGGACCAAACTATCTATGCAATTTTACAATGCTTGAAATAAATCCCATAAAAACCTTGATCAAAACTTATTTTTTAATTTTATAATCGTGCCTTTCCATTTAAAATGGGTTGGCTGCTGCTCATCATCATCAAATATAAAATGATGAAATATATCACTGGACAATTTTGACTTGACTAACCCATATTTATCGAGAGCAGCTGGATGATAAAGTCGACCATTTGCAAACATGCAAAGATATTCTGGCTGAAAATAAATCAATAACAATCATAAGATAAAATAATTTTATCGAGAGGATAGAAACGATTAGCTGTTGTTCAGATTATCCATTCCAGCATCGAAATTCGGCCCCTAAAAAACCAGGTGGTGCTGGGGAGCCAAACGACTTCACCAAAATGGCTTCTGGCAAAAATTTCTCATCGTATTAAAAAAACTAATGATACTAATAAATAAAAATAAAACTAATAAAAAAAATTTTTATGTCTAAAAAGCGAAAGGCAAGCGGACAGAAATGAAATAAAAAATTGAATTATTTAAAACAACTTTTGCTCGAGTAATAAGTAATAATATTATTAGATCAAGAAAAATGAATGGGTGATGCTGGTGACTCACCGTGCACTTATACGTAAAATGAGTTCCTGGCATATTTATTTAACCTGACAGCCAGTGGATTTAGCCAGCAATCTTAATAAAACCTGCTTTGAAATTTTCTGCTCATAAAATAAAAGAAAAGGATAAATTTCGCACAGATTTCAAACAAATAAAATCGAGTAAAATTCTATAATAATAGGGACATAGTGTTTAAAAAAGTTGTAATAGGTACGAAAAATTTTGAGAACCATCCTTCTGGAGGCCCATCTGCACTACCTACCATCTTTACAGAAAAATAATGTTAAAGCATTTGGTAAATATTTTTGATGAATGCAATTTCTCTTATTTATTTATTTCTCTTCCTGTACTACTCTACCGTTTAATGGTAATTAGAATAAAAATTACAAATTAATGCAAACCTTGAATGGTACTTTCAATGTACAATTGCAAATATTCCACGAATCATCGTCGGCATTAAGCGATGTAAAAACGACTGGTCGATCACCACAACGCAAAAAATTCATTTCTCGTCCACACAAACTGACATAAGGAAATTCTTTTTGATAACGATCCGTTTCATTTAATTTCAATCGAGTAAAAAAAAAATCCAAAAATTGTGTATCTAAAATTGTGTGAAAAAAAGTTACTTTGATCTTTCGGTTTTACTCATTTATTTAATATTATTTAATATTTTATTTAAATAAAATTTACTCGATTTTTCGAAAAAATTGGAAAATTTTCTACAGTCAAATCATGCAGCAAGAAGAATTTAAAATTCAGTCAGAATCAGTCTAACATATTGTACAAGAAAAGATCTTAAAACTCAGAATGGTTTATGTTTGTGCAGCTCAGTTGACATTTGTGTGAATAATCAAATGCATATGCATATTATAAAAATTTTTAAAAAGCTCTCCCCATTATGGGTTAGAGACTTCTCCGCTGGCTTGTCGCACTAGATAACTATCCCTTGACGATAGGAGAATAAGCGAGTCACCAGAATCATGCGGATTTCTGGATAGGCTTTCCTTCCCAGAGTAGAACGGAGTAGAACCTCAACATCGGTGCACCGAATTAACCCACTGAGCTATTTTATGCCCCAAAATTATGTATACATATATATATATATATATACATACATATAAATCTTTTTCTAGCACCTCACATCATCACTGGTTAGGCTAGCTCCAACAAGGGTAAGACGCTTCCAAGCAAGGAAGTTAGATGCCATCGTTAACGGTAATAGAAGACATTCCTTTTTCCATACATTAACCTATACGTCCAAAACCTTTTCTGACCGTATCAGCCCAGGACTTAATTGGCCCTCGCTTTTAAAGCCACCTATCATATGGTTCAGCAAATAACGATATATGCGATAACTCTTGTGGTGGACGACGGAAAACGTGCCCTAACCACCGAAGGCGACGCTTATAATAACATTATGCAAGTGGTATTTGAATAAAGATGGATGCTATCATGTGGTATTTTACCCGCTTGATGGACCCGTAAAATGTACCTTTGACAAAAGTGGTCAAAAACAGAAAACTTCTTAATATTTCTCTATTCTCAGTGACTGTCTCAGAGCCATATAATAAGATCGACGGAATCACTATATATATATATATAAATTCCTTCCTCAATTTCAGGTCCTCTACTAGAGAAATAGGTAGTTCAGCATTGGAGGGCCTTTGCCAAGGATTCCTTCGGGGAAATACGGTTTCAAAGCACGGTTAATGGATAATCCACGAATAATTAATTATATGCCATATACATACATAAATGAGAGAGGCTCAGTGACTTGTTGCTCAATTCGAAGCGCCGATGATAAGATTCTAATTCCTGCGGTAGATCCCTCTAAAAATCCAGATGATGCTGGCGATCATCTGTACTTCTATCGCCATTCCCTGACATATTTGTCTAATCCGATAAGCCAGCGGAACGAGCCTAACCAGTGAGAACCCTTAAAACGTATAAGAGTAATCTGGCTGACTCCATCACCTAAAATAAGGCCACTAAGCTTCTTTTTCTTCTAAATAATATGCATTTTTGCTTCTTTCATAGATTCCAAATAAAAAAGGCTTTTTATTGTCGAATTGTCAATTATTGTTCGTTTGTTTCAAACAAGTAATATTTCTTTCAAAAATGCAAAAGTACACATTAAAAATGAAATTCGGATAGTCACTATGGATCTGCTAATACTAAATGATGACTATTTTGCGGAAGAATCGCTTTATTAGGGTGAACCAAACCAGAAATGGTGAGCGGCCAGGCTCACTTTAAGAGTGAACCAAACCAGAAATGGTGAGCGGCCAGGCTCACTTTAAGAAATGATGAATGAAAATTGTGATAATTATAGTTTTCTTATCTGATAAAGGGCTATAAGAAAAAAAACACAAACCTTTATAAGACGAAGTAAAATTTTTAATTTTCATATCATCGAGAAAAAGTTGTCCATTATTATCGATGAAATAAAAATATTCTCGATGTTTACCAATTATTTGTCCTTGTTTATAGGAAATTTGCCGTGAAAATTGTAAAAGTATTCGGCGATCAAATGTAACCATGAATATCGTCACTTATCTATTTAATTTCGTCACTTACTTTCGCCACTTACTTACTTACTTTCGCCACTTATTTACTTACTTTCGCCACTTACTTACTTATTCGATTTCGTCACTTACCTACACACTTTCGTAAATCATTGATTGGTAACAATCTCGATTGTTGTTTCTATAAAAAAAGGCTGTTTTTAAGCAAATGACGTAAAAAAATATGACCTTTCCTCTATATGAGAAAGAATTTTATTGATTGAACGCATAAAATTAAGAAGAACATGGAACTTGAATTAGGCTAACGAGTCAACCAACAAATCACCACATCAATAAAACAATAAAAAAATAAGAGATAAATTAAAAGGGAACTAAATGGACCGTGGAAGCAGCGGAATATTTAATATTTAGCTTTAAAGATTGCTATCTATCTTGCAACGATTGTATGTTTCATCGTAGATCCTAGCAGCACTTATAAAGAAGTAAGTAAATAATTTACCCCTCTCGAAAGGAATTTTCCCATAAGTTGTAAATTTTTGTCATTTTTTATTTGATTGAATTTTGCTAAAGATTAATTTTTTAAATGAAATTTTTTCCAATAATATTATTTTTAATTAATTTTGTTGAATTCATTCTTATACGACAAATTAAATTTGCATAAAATTTCGATATTTTCGGTGAATTTTTTGCTCCTTAACGAGTCGCTTAGCGGCAGAAGTGCAAGGCAAGAGTGCCGCCCACCTCGCTGGGACTCTGCGAGACGGGTGGGAGCCTCCACGGAAGGCATTTGCAGCCGGAAAAGAGGGCAACGTCTCAGCCGAACCATTCTTCTCCCTTGTCAAATTTAGAATCGAACAGTTTGGTAAAATCTCGTCAGATCTACTAATTAAGAAAGGGGGTGCGTCGATGGCTGAGTGGACCGAGACTTGGGACTTGGCTGACGCACCACATTTCATCGGGTGGCAGTGGAGACAGGAATGGAGAGTAGAATGGCTCACTGGTTCGTTGCTGGACTCGGCGCTGTACCCCAATACTGAGGTTCTAATCCCAGCAGAAGTAAACTTGTCAGAAAGTCGGAGCGATGCTGGCGATCACCTGTACTTCTATCGTCATGGAATTCCCTGACATGTTTGTCTAATCCGATAAGCCAGCGGAGCGAGTCTAACCAGCACTGGTGAGTATCTTTAAAAAATCTAAGAAAAATCGTATTAAATACTAAATACAATGAATACAATGAAATGAACTATGTTTTGTTTTGTAATTTTGTAATATGTTTTGTAGTTTTTGTAGTCAGTTCGTTTCTTTTTTGTTTCTTAAAGAAGTACCATTTTTTGAAGCATTAATTTTTTGCTTTTTCAGTTTGTTCACTTTTGGAAAACTTGGCCGAATGTTCGATATATTATTTTATAATTATGTTATCACGAAGAAGTCGAATAATTGTAATAACTTATTTGGTTTTATTAATATTAATTTATCTATAAATTATAACCATTGTATTCAAAAAGCTATCCTATAGGATAGTGTTACAGTCAAAAAATTAACCGTAGGCATAGTATCTCGGATTTTGAGCACATCGTTCATACAATTTTTTTAAAAATTACAATTTAAAAATTATACTTATATCATATGGCTGAAAGATGGAATTCCAGCACAAATAGTTGCATTAGAAATTTTTATTTTTCGTCCGGCGGAACTTTTTTGGAATTGTGGTGAAACTGAAAATATGCATCTGTCTATCTAGCTGTAACTCATACATTTATACAGCAGCGAAATATGCTCGATGATAATGGAAGAATTTACTTATAAAATTTCACTTGATTGCTTGAAACTGCTCAAATATCGACTGTAATATATCGTCATAGAACGATCTCTGCTTTAGTTAGGCACCATGTTCATCGCTTGGCATGCATCTTTTGTCAAGATGGTGATGGATTGCCTCAAAAATGTCCAAACGGGGTGCTCATAGTTACGGGGTGGAGAGAACTATAGAGGAATGGGCAAAGGCTGTTTAGAAAACATTGGCTTTTGTGATTCTCAAAAGTGGCGTTAGGTTGATTCTCAAAAGTGGCGTTAGGTCGAAAGATTTCATTCTTTTAGCTAATTTAGCCAGTAATAGTCTAGTCATGTTAAAAGAAGACTTTAATCAAACCCTTGCATTTTCAATTTTCTTACATTTATAATTGTAATTATTAAAAGTTATTGCTAGTACTACTTTTTCCGCGTAACTTTTATTATTCTGGTTAGACTGCATTGACTATATGTATGAGCATTAAAATTCAACATATCCAGAGAATCACATGGAGTATACGTACATAGGTCCTTGGTGCTTTCAATGATAAGTCCCCTATCAGGAGGTAGCGAGCGTCTTGAGAAGTCTAAGCACATTCCAAACTTGTTAGCGTATTAAATGGTAATCGAATTTGCTGTTGACTAGAATGGGAAATATCCAATTGAACTATATTTGCACTTTTTTCTGGAGTACTTTTTTCGCCATCGTTACTTAAATGCTATGCAGTTATGTATAGTTGATATAGTGATATAGTTATTTATTGATACAGTTATTTAGAAATCAACCAAAATCGTTTTATATTTTTATTAATTTTATTTTGTGATTCTTGTACTTCCGTTGTATATGGCTTATGGCCTGTCTAGTTCTTTAAAAGTAAATAATTAATTAAACATTTGATCTGAACTAAAATATCAGTCATTTATAGAATAAATGGTTTTAAAATATAGATGGTTTTCATTATTTCAGGTTCGCCCTAACTTAAGCGCTGCAGGAAAGCAGAAAAATATTTCGACAGAATGTAAGAAATTTAAAACTTCTTCTTCGGAAAAAATTGCATACGAGGAACCGTCTGCAACTGAGATTCAATCTCGGGCATTTGCTGATTCCCCATTATCATCTAGTGAAATACAGTTAAAATCATTCTCCAAAAACTCCTTTGGTACATCCATCGCTGAAGTAACGCAGCCCACTAACAATTATGCAGATTCCACTGGAGCTTATATATCTGCTGAAATTGCTGGTCAATTCTCATTTCTTATTCAGCCAAACTATATCAAATAGATTTTTAAAATATTGAAAAATATATAAATAATTAAGAGTCTCAGTTTTGCTTTGGTAATAAGATTATAGAAATTTGGAATAGAATAAAAAGTTTATCCTAAAAACTGGAATAAATTATTAGATTCTTGACGCTTTTTTCAAAACCATCACCGACATATTCGTTGGATATTCTCTATTTATTAGTTTTTCTATATTTATTGCTATTGACATCGAGCAAAATGTTGAAGGTCGTAAATAAGTTACAGGTTATCAGTGGATATCAAAGATTTTCAATAAAGTGGATCCAATCTTTTTAGATAGTATAAAAGATTTTTAAGGAGATAGAAGAAGAATGCAATTCATAGTTTTTGCACTCTAGATTATCAGTGAAACATTAAAGAGCTGGAGGAAAATATTATGATCTGGTTTTGAAGAAAGGAAAGTGATTCAAGAATTTCTTAATTATCCACATATTTCAGAGGTAAGCAGGATTGTAGACCCACAAACATCCAGTGCAAATGAATCAGCAAAAATTAATTCTCCAGATCGAAATCGTTCAGATTCATCAAGCTTTTCTAGATCATATACAAATATGTAAATTCTTGTTTGTTTTTATTTTATCTTTTATTTATTTCCACGCAAAATTAAATTCCAGTTATCTTTTTCAGGAAAGATTTTTCGCAACTATGTTCAAACTCCAGAAAAAATTCAGTAGATGTACCATTATCAAATTCGTATAGCGTAAGCATCAGAAAAAGGTTATTGTCGCAAATTTTCTCTGTTTTAATATTCTAACTAGCAAAGATTTTTCATTTCGTATAGATATATTTTCTTTTCGAATATTATTTCTTTGGCCTAAAATATTGAATGGATCACTGAAAAAAACTATGGAAATTTGTCGAAAATTTATTATTATATTTATTATAAATTAGTTTCAAGTTTATTTATTTAATTTATTTTTTTTTAATATGTCCAATATATTTCAGAAAGAAATTCAGTGGAAACGAGCCATTTGATTCTAAGACGATGACAATGCAGGATTTGATAACGTGGAATCCAAAAAGCGAAGAGGTTCAATCAATTTTTTTTTTAATATCACATTATTAATACCACGTATCATTTCTAATTTGGCTGATTCCACTTACTACGGGTGATATTTTATGATCTTTTGTAAGAATCGATTAGGAATAGAAATACAAATGAATCCCTTCTTAGCAGCAGCCGAATCTGGCTTCCAATTTACTTTGTCAGTGGTCAGGAGTGGTGGTTGCTGTTTCGTCCAAAACAACGAAGCAATTCGATTTGGCCTTTATGTTCCTAATCAATCAATTTGATTTATTATTTTATTTATTTGTTGGACTGGTTTAAAAATTAGAAAAAAAAAGTATTTTTAAAGAAATCACTTGATTTATTGTCCTATTTGTGGTTAGCACTTGTTGTATTTGTTTTATGATAATATTGTATTTAGGGTCTGAAAACGGAACAGAGGAAGAAGGTATCTGATAATCAACGATCAGTCGAAGAACTTTGTGAAAACAGCTCAAAAAAAAGTGGGCATACCTCATCAGGAATCATTGCTGTTCCACAAGTGAAATTTTTTGTGTTAAGATTTAATTTAAATTATCATTTAAATTTAATTTGTACTGAGGATTTAGAAATTTAAATTTTTCTTTCTTTAAAATTTATGTTTTATCTTAAAAATATTAAGAAGAAGAAAAATATTAAGAAATATCAAGAATATTATTATTATCATTATTAATTCAAGTAATGTTTAAGATATCTGGCTGATATCAAATTATGAAATAAAGGTTTTCAAGTATGTTCTTATGTTCTTTATTATTTCAAAACCACAGGTTAAACTGGGTGTTGATGGATCGCTTATTTTGGATGAAACGAGTTTAACGGTAGTACGTGGTGAACCAGAAAATGCGCTAACTATAGTTGATGAGGTCTTATTCCTATCGGCTCGTTTTCAATACCATTTTTTTCTTTAAGTTTTTCGATTTTGATTCTTTATAAATTTCAGGACAGCGTAAGCAAGAAAATATCGTCCATGAGCTTCCGCAAAAAGGCATGGAGGAGGGGAACACCTTGGAATGACTTAGAAACTGACCTTTTCTACGATTTAATTCGGTACGTCAACTTCCTTTACCCACCTTAAATTTTTCATATTCCGAATATTTTTTATTTCTTATATTATCTTGTAAGCTAAGCTATTCATGAATTGATGAGATATATTCTTAAAAGAGGCACTTGTAGAGAATATTTTTTTGCCTTCGCTATTACCGATTAAATCCACTCCACTGGCTTGTCGCATTAGACACACATTCTTTGGCTATAGAAGTACAGATGAGTCGCCAGCATCATCCTGATTTTTGGGCAGATTTATTCTGCGGGAAGAAGAAAAACTTCAGCATCAGCATTCCGAATCGACCATCAATGCACTGAAAAATTCTGTATCCTATGTCCCAGTGTATTAGAGTATTAGAATATTAGAGGGTATGAAGATAGGTATTCAACAATATCTTTATTCATGTCAGAAATCGAACCCATGGCGTTTATTTTCATTTGAAATACGAAGGAACTTAGTATACTCCATTACTGTAGCGTCTAATGAGATTTCTTATCACTTTTCTTATATTAAAATAAAATAAATTTTAGATAATACTTTTAATTTCTTATTTTGAACCAATTATTTTGAGAGCGACAGGAACTGATTTTACTCTTATGCATGAATTTTTTCCATCACGTGCTCGAAGTGAATTGAAAAGTAAATTTAATCGTGAAGAACGCACTAACTGGAGACGTCTCAGTCACGTTAGTTTCCATTTATTTGATTGAGATTATATTATGCCAAAGACTTATATATGATGTTTTAGAGAGATTTAATTCTATTTCTTTTTTTTTACCATAATCGATTGTATAACAAATTTCGAAAAATTTTAAAATTAGGATTTGGAAAATTTTTTAAAGGCTCTTTCTGTGCCGACCATGTTAGACGATTCACTTTACGCAAAAGCCAGGAGAGTGCTTGATTTAATTAAAAAGCAGGATGAAAAGAAAAGAGAAAAAAAGTTGGTGAAAAAACGCACAAATGATTCGAACCCAACTGAGGTGAGGTTTTTTTAGTCAAATTATTTTCTCTTAAGTTTTTTCAGCTAAATAATAAATTTTCGTCTTAATATTGTTAATCTTTATATGTTGTAACCTACATATATTATTAAATAATTTATATTAAACTTGTACTTTTAAAGGTAGAATGGAATGAAGATGATGCTGATTTAGTGGCCGAAGCAGAAAAAACGATTAATGAAATTGAAAATCCTGGTGAACGGTATATTTCAATTCATCTTCCACTTGTACGAATTCACCTTTTTTTTTTCTTTGCATAAAGTCAATACGCTTTTTCATACGCTCATATTTAATTTTTTCAGCATAAAAACTCATATGGAATTAAATTTGGAAAAAACATCAGGAACTAATTTATTAAAAAAAAAAATATTGGATGAAACTGCAGATGAAGCGGAAAAAATTATAAAAAGCAAAAAACGGGCAAGAAATCGCGCCGAATTGGAAAAAATGGCCAACGATTCTTTGTGTATGTGTTCTGCAATATTTATTAATTAAAAGAATTGCAAAAGTGGTCGGGAATATTAATTTGAATAAGAGTAAGCAGCATGTATTTGACCCATAAGTCAGTTATCATTAAAAGAGAAATTCGATTGTATCTTGAGAAATCCATCTGCCCATTTACTGGACTCAAATGGACTTTTTGATGGCAGTTCTTCCCCATTTTTTTTTTTTACTGCAGAATACTTTACAAATTACAATATGAACAGCTAAATTGAATTTATCATTACTTTGGTTTTAAAACAAGCAAATTGTTTTTCAGATGTTTGCTTTTGCAAATTCAACATAATATATTACACAACAGTATAAAAATTAGGAAAAAATAAAAAAATTTTTGAATAATAAATAAATAATTTTTGCGGAACAAAATTTGGAAAATTTTGGTATAATGAATTCCATCTTAGTCGATAGTGGGTGTATAGTCAGAAGTCAGAAATGGCGAGTGATATGTGAAAGTGAAAGATGAAGAAAAAGTGCACTATTATTTTTATATCTTAATTATTTATTTATTATAATTATTTCTCTGAAGAGAAGAGTAATATTTCACTTTATGGAAAGTTAATTTTTAGGTAAACTAAGTAAAAATTTCCCTCAGTTCACCTTGATTCTTGATGATAATGCAAGGAGCGTATCAATTGAATCTCAAAAGGATGCTTTGCCGTTAGTTAGAGTACCTGTGGGTACTACTATACGGGTTGCACCGGAAACTTTTCGATTTCCGGAGCGCGTCATTTTTGATTGTCCGAGATTTCCTGGTATTACATTGCGGAAATTTGTTGTACAACACCAGATTGTTCCTGGACAACCCTCTTCAGGATTTTTGCACCTTTTTGGATCTCATGATGGGTTGAAACCTTCAACTTCTGCTTCAGGTGGCTGACCATGTTTGTCTTTTATATTTCATCGTTATTGATACTGTGTATTATTATCGTATATTATTATTATCGTTTTTTTGTATGCCCTGAAGAGGAGAATAAGAGGTAAATGTGGTATTTTCTTATTGTCAATGTTGTTTTCTGTCTTTCAATATTTATATTTTTGTTTTACCGAGAATAGTATTCCTCCTGGTGATGACATAGGGTTTCGTAGCAGTATATATTTGGGGTTTAAACATAATTTTTTTAAACATAATTTTGTTTGTTTCTAAAATAGGAAGGTCGAATGCTCAGTAAGATCCATTGACCAAGACCATTCTATCATGGTTTCGATTGCTACATCTTGATTGGAGAAAACTTGAAAATGAAATCCGTGTAATGCTGGGACTGACTATCCTCAACTGACTTCTGACTTCTGGAAGTTCTCTAATCGTAGTAGAGCTAACTAAAAAAGAACTGTAGTGTGTGAAGAAGGAAGAGAAGTTTATTTTGAATATGGAAACGTTTTGTTTATAAAAAGAAAATGTAAAAATTGACTACTACTAAAGATAAAAATATTTGCTGTCAAAATATATCTATTCGCAACCGACTGTTATTAATTATTCAATCGTTATTTGTAGCGATACAAATTATAATCAATTAAATTTATTGAATTTTTATTATTTTTTACAATCTTTTCGATTATTTATTTTAAAATTTTTGTTTCTCGATAATGCTTTGTAACGTCACAAATTGCGTATGATACAGGTTTGCCATATCCATCCATCTAAAATTTAATGAAAATTTAATGAAAAAATAAATAGAAATCGCCATTGACTATATGATTGGGAATTTTCTAATATTCTGATTTGGCTGTCTAAATATTACAAGCGCTTAATTTACAAGAAAATCAATCGGCCAACTGGACCTTATCTGCTCGCACTTTTATTTGGCTAGCTCTTCTGTCAGGTCTGACGATTTTCACGCTGTCAAGATCGATATCATCTGGAAGACGATACTGACGTGAAAGTGATATTGAAGGATAATTTGGGTTATTGGGGTTGTCCTTTTGTGCAAAGATTTGTAAATCATATCCTGTAACGCAAACCTAAAATATAAAGGTGAATGATAATGATTTTTGTGCTTGAATTTAGCAGTAATTATTTGTTGATTTATAATCAGTCATCACTAGATTTCTTGAAGAATGATAAATGAAATAACTAATAGTTTATAGCGATGGAGACTACAAAGTTAAAGGTTCAGTGAAGATAAGTCATTTAATAATTGGATGAAATCCTTAGAGGTAAAATGGATAGTAAACCAAGAATTTAGGCTAGGATGGAGGTTTTGTTGATGCATTCAAGGGATGTCAGATCTTAATCTAAGATGATATTTATTAATAAATATTTTATTATTGAACTTACATCAATATCTTCGGGATGAAAATGTGGAAATGAATCTAAGTTAATTTCCACTTCAATGCCTTTATCGTCATTACGAATTTTAGCGAATTTTGAAGCTTCTTTTCTGAAAAAAATGAATGGTCGAATGATATTTTTTAAGAGATATTTTAATATGGATTCCCTTGATGGGAATAAATCTATCATGAATTCCGGATATTGCCAGTGGAACTTCTGTTCTCAAATGGATATCTGGTGCAGAAATTATATTCTAGCACTGAATGGGTCCAGAAATGGTTTTTGAAGTGATTTTTCAATTTGTAAAAATGTTTACGTAGGTATTTCCCAGCAGCTACTGGATTTACGTCGAATATATTTTCTGCTTCCACCAAATTGTTCAGTATTTCTGACAGTATCGGATAGCATCTGAATTATAATTGGTGAAAAACCTCACTGAAATAGTAAAGTAAAACTATTCGTCTCGATGGATCATAGACAAATTTTAAATTTTCAAACTTGCAAAATTTTAACTATAAATATAAAAATGTACTATAAATATAAATATAAAAATGTTATACTTAATTTTCGATTTTTTATATCCACGATGGATAAATAAAATGGTAAATGCTCTATTAAAGCTCAGCTGGTTTAGTGCGATTAGAAATTTTGGCGATAGAAATACGGGTGAGTCGCCAGCATCACCCATATTTACTTTTGTCAGGAATAAAATTTCGGATACTCGATGCACCACTTGAATATTGAGTCCAGCCAAAAACCGATACGGTTTCTCGATAAATCCGGAAAATTTGTATCGAAAATTTTTGTCCGTTTTTGTTTTGTAACACACAGGTAGGCCACTAATACCAGTCGAATATGACAGGTTTATTAGTATTGCGAGCAGGAGCCCTTGCCTCCAAAGACCATAATCTCGTCCACCGTTCATTCAGCTAGCTTACACCTTGAATCGATGACAGAAATATTGCCAAAAACCTTGATATTTTTCAGAAAATCATTCGAGATGTAGGTTCATATTAAGTTGCAAAATTAAATTCAAATCAGAGGTGAAAGTAAGCGAAGTTGTGAATTCCATTAGCGATGAATTTGCAAAAGTTACAGTTCACGAATCCTTTCCGATAAAAATTTTTTATCACAATGAAAAAATTCCTCTCAGCTTGTCGTACACGCAATATTCGTCATTTTCACGCCATTTCACCTCAATGCACAAAGAAACATTCAACGATGGGCTTTTTGTCCCAATTCGACAATAATTTGTGCAGTTCACGTATATTTTATCAATGTTATTCATTTCCAGCGTTGTTACATTATAGTTACATAGTTATATGAATTAGTGAAATAAGTAAATAAGTATTCAAAACAGGTTCACCAATAAAATTTTGCTAAACAAACTTGGTGCGTCGACAGAGAAAAACACATTGAATCACTATCGTAAACAATCAGTTCACTATATCATATTTATTAATTACGATTCCTTAGAATGCCCATATCGAGATCCATAAAGCCAATAGTACCACAACTAGCAAGGCTTATTGAGTTGTTGCACGGCAGTACCAAGATTGCCAACCTTGTGATCAAGACGAAGATAAATTATTACAACGAGGTCAAGTTGAAATTGAAAACATCACTTGGAAAAATATCTGCTATCAATCTCGAAAACAGAAACACATCATGTGAATAATACACACAAATGCATCAAATCCAAAATAAGAAGAAGGGTTAATATGCAAAAACGCCAAAAGAGGAAAATGGATCAGTTAATATTCCATAGACTGGTCACGAAAGGAACTCTCGCTTCTACTTTTTCGACTTTTTGTTGGAGCGAAAATTGCAACATCACTCGGGTTTCCAGCGTTCAAAAATTATAATATGGTCATGGAACTCCAGCGTCTATTCATCAACCTCACTTTAAATTGAGCGGCGACCCAATGAGAGAGCTAAAAGTTCAATATAATCACAGTATTCTTGGTCGATAAAATAAGTTATTTAATTTATTTCACCATCGATCAAGCAGTCTGTTGCTGAGGGTTTGGCTGGTCAACGATAAAATTTATCCTTTAATCTGGTAGAAGCTGAATAATCGATTTGGGAATAACTATAACATTGAATGGATATTTTATGATGAACTTCAGTGGTAAAAAAAGCGACGATCTGAAATTCACATATGACTCGATCTAACGAATCCTAGGTCAGTTAAGCTTATTAAGGAAATACACAGAACAGCAATGCTTAAGCAATCTCCAAATATCCAAACAGAAATTGCCAGAATATATAAATCACAAAATTGCCCACAAAAAGAAGAATTTGTCTTTGATTACCAGGGAATTGATGGGAACAAATTGGTACAATCTTATGTTGAAATTTAAGAAAAATTTCGCGACCTTCAAAAAATTCCACGTACAATGTTTGTTAAAAACTAACATCAAGAATTCTAATATTTCAATTATTAGACTTCTTATAAAACCGCCGATAAACTCAAAATTCACGACTCCACGATCAGTTGAATATCCAGTTCCACTTATGAAAACAGCGCTCGAATCATGGAAGAACTCGAGAACACATTTCAAGTCCGTGAAACCTCCTGCATACTATATTAATGCATGCAGCAATAATATCAACGCTATGCCAAACACTCAATCATAAAGGCAAACACCTCAACTCATTTGGCTTAACACTTCGAAAATTTAGCCAACTAATGGCTAAAAGCGTTGATCCATTACCTCATCACCGAAATCTTCTCTGTAGGGAAATAAAAATGACACTTCAACCCACTTCTCCACACAAAATTTGGCAAAGGCACTAATTTTTTTGGATATTGGAAATATATATCACAGTTGTAAAGTGAAAATGGGTCGTGCCGCTGTATATAGTTTCCCACAGTAACTACCAACCATCTATTTCTCGGACAAAGTCTTAAACTCATTGATAGTTCCAGAGAAGTAGTTTTGCTAACAATATTTTTATTAAATAGGCGCTACTTTTCATAAGTAACGAATAAGTATACAGCTCGATCTTGAAGAAGGAGAAAAACAGAATAAACCAATTCAGGCTCACAAGGAATGAACCCAACTCCAGCAATCAAAGACAATGGCACTGCTGGTTTCTTAATTTTGGTGGCCTAGGAATTATAGATTCAGCAGAACGATGATCACTGGAAAAGTTCCAATTTTGCGCAAATTATTATTCGAAATGAAAACGACCGCTGTTATATACCGTGATTCTGGTAAACATTCAATCCAAAAATCATTTCGAGTTTTGGTCGAACATATGCTCGTTTTATTTCAACAATTCATAATGGTTGAAGCGTATTAAAAGAACACTGATGATCTGTGAAGCTAATATCACCGAAATAGCACCACAGCAATCGTCTAAACTCGTCCATCACTTTCCACATCCACCAGTCATCACGCTTTACAAAAACACAACAAATTGTTTTCCTCGTATTGTCTATTGGCTATTTCAAAAAAAGACTGATTTAGAAAAAACCCTAATCCTCCTGTAAACATAGTCTTTGTAATCATAAAGCGGTGGAATTATAAAAAGACTCAAATTTTTTCTGGCCAAAATTCTTTGGCTCTGAAGGCTCTGAAGACGGATCCTTAATTACACCTTCCGAAAATGATAGTCCAAACAGAATAACCAACGCAAGAACCTCAAAAGTCATTGGAAAGTAACGCTGAAACACTTCATGGTCAAAGAATTTCGTTGTCTTATAAAGTTACTGGGCGCCTATTATAACTGTTGGGAGATCGCTTTCGAAATCGCCTTATTCCAGCGTAGAGACGCGTTCAGTACCACAATTTGCTTTCGACAGTAATTTGCACATTTCACGTAAAATATTCACGCATTTTATTATTAACATCTATTTTTTCAGCGATCTACAGCGCAAAGAAATATTTCGACTAAGAATTATCGCATCCACAAACAAATTTTTTCTAAACAGCTGTTTTTTGTTAAATTATTAATTTGAGAGCCAATCATTCTTAAGGGTTTTGCTTGTTTACTAATAAATTTAGTTTTTTTGGAATAATCGACGAGAATTGTTCGAATTTAATGAAAGATTCCATTTCATAATTCCATAAGATTCTATAAAGATTCCATAATTTATATTTATACAAAAGTAATAAAATAATAATACGGAAAATATAAGAAAAACAAGATTATGAATCCATGAAATGGTGAAAAGTTTAAAGTTTAAGGAAAACGAAGTGCCAAAAAACACCGAAGGATTCTCTAAGCATAAATTTGGTTTCTGACATATTATAGCATCACGATTATCAGTCGCCTAATCACATAGGGATCGTACTGTTTCGCACTCGATTACAGAACGAACGCACAACCAGAGAAGCTTCCACTTGCCCACTCGTAAATGCATCCAGCAGTCAAGATAATCTATATCACTGGGATATTTGCGTAAAATTTGCTTGATTCATATTTATGGAATTATGTAATAATTGTATGATTATGTAAACTTATATTTAGTTTTCTGAAATTTAAAAAAAAAAGTGAAATTTATAAAATAAAAATTGATTAATTGTGGCGGAAGAAAATATGAAATATGATATGAAAATAACGATATCAAGGGAGTTCTTTTTCTTTTTTACACCATGGGTCCACTCGCACCTAAGGACCTCTTCGCTGAATAAATGCAGGGAACAAGTAAGAATACAAAATTGTCATAAAAATATACATCGTTTTTATTGGCGGCAAATATAATGTTAAAACATTATGGTTTGGTGTGGAACGTTCATAATTTTATTTTTATAATTCATAATTTTAAAAAATGCTAAAATTCATTTGACAATAAAATGAATTTGGAAATGAATTTGCGCCCAGCAAAGTTTTTATAATACACTGTGAAAAGCCTCTAATTTTCTTCTTCTAATAGCACTCACCATTTCTGCTTCGCTTAGCTCCACTATCTGCTAAGCCATTTGAGAATAAGAATGCAAATAATTTCTCAGCACGAACTCCATTCCACTTTTAATTTAATGATAAGTTCGCTATCAATGGACACGAATCGACCGAATCTACGATGGCTTAATCACAGTCAAAGTACCACTCGATTGTTCTCTCTTCGAACTTCTCTTCCGAAGGAAACGGAATTTAAAAAATTATGAATGAGACATAAAAAAATTAAGGAAACATTTCATTAAAATCCCAAGCATATTCCATAAAAAGAATTGATAAAATCTATTTTACATTTTAAAAGAATCTGTTCACTTGGAAAATTCTTTCTTAGAGATAAGAAAATTTAAGCAAGTAAGTGTGAACAATTAATTGGGAATTATTCTTAAAATTTCTTGTCGTTAACGCATAAAGTAAAACTTTGTGATCGAATTTTTGTTTACAAACACAATTTTTTTGAATCTCCAACATTGTTGGTTAACCAAGGGGCTCGAGTAGTGCTTCGACCCGTTCCCATCAGTGGCAATAAAGAAAGGCTCTTCACGATTTAAATTCAGGCGGTGCTAGTCACTCCTCTCCCCCAAATTATTCCTTGGCCAATGAAAAATTAAACTGTTCATTATTTATTGGAATTAAAAAAAAACTATTTTCCTTCACCAGCAGATTGGCTTTGAGTTAAGCGAAACTTTTTTGACTATAAAAATATTGTTTGAGAGCATTTAATCCAGCCTTACAATACCATAAAAACAAAATTTTGTCATCATTTCATGCAAACCATATCCTCGATGGTACTATTTGCATATTATAAAGAAATGAGTGAGTATAATATGAAAACAAAAGTCTGCGCTTTTCATTTTCATTTATCACAAAGAAAGATGTGCAAAAATATTTGTTCCATACAATTCGAATCAAAAACCAAGAAAAATACAAAATAAAACTTATACGCACTATACATCCATGAAACAAGTAGCAGATTATAGATAGATAAATCAAGGAAAATAATAATAATTAAAAAATAATGCAAAAAAATCAGCAGATCAGCACTTTAGATTTTCCCCTTTAGCAAAAAAATTTTCTAAAATTAAAATAATGGAAAATATACTATATTATTTATAATATGTACAAAATACAAAATTAAAGTAAAATTTAAAGAAATGAAATCTACAGAGAATACAATAACAGATCAAAAATAATATCGAAAAGAAAAGTGAAAACCCTTGAAGATAAGGGTAAATATAAGATTCCAAATATAAATATATATTATATATAATACAAATAATTGGGAACTCTCCATTCTCCATACAAATAACCTCCTTGAATTAACATCATTTCATTTTTCTAACCAAATAAAATTTGCGAATTAGTATAAATTTCCTGAATGATAAATAAACCATAAATAAAACATATAAATAAATTAAGTGTTGCGTAAATCGATTCCTCTTTCTGATGCGATATATTTCCTGAAAAAAATTTTACAATAAATTCCAAATTCGAATTCTTTTAATCTGAAATATTTATAAATTTTGCAAAACTTTAAGATCATTTTTTTTAAAATAAATTCTGCTTGCTTAAAAAACCAAGTAGCCACCTCCTGTTCTCTTCGATCAAAACCGATTTCCTATGAGATAAAATATGATGTCTCTCTTTTGGTTGCCCGCTAAATCGGCTACCAGAACTTGCCACTGAAGTTTCATTAACAATTCTTGGTACAGCACTGAAATCAGCCGATGAGTTTGTTGATGATGACGAATCATCAATTGTACTTGAATCCGTTCCATCCTAAGAATAATATTTTTGTAATTTGATGATGCAAATCACAAAAAAAAAATTTTACTCTGTAATGTTTACCAAAAATATTCTCAAAATAATAACTTACACCATAACGACCATAAGATGATGCATTACGATCTAGAAGACGACCCATTAAAATATTTTCGATTGTTGCTTGAGCAGAACCAGTTTGTTGAATATCATCTCTAATGGTTCCAATGTCTATCTGTGGGAACATTTCATGTACTTGTTCTGCCATAAAATCTATTTGTGAATTGTCGAGTTCAATCAAGCTAAATTTTATTATTAGAACAAATTTTAATTAAAATATTATTAAAATATTAATATTAAAATTAATATTAAAATTTTAAATTTTCAAATTTAAAAAAACAAAGAATAATTAACGACTTTATTGAAAAGATTTATGTTTTAAAAAACATATATTAAATTTAAAATTCGAAATAATTATCATAATATTGTTATTATTGATAATAATATTGTTGTTAAATTTATAAAAAAGAAAAGCTTTAAGAAAAGAAAAAAATTTAAGAAAAGAAAATAAACCTACCGATTTTCCTGAAAACCAACATTATGAGAGAGTTCTACTGAAAACGAGGGTAACCAACGTGCGTAACGCGTACCATCAAAATGAAATATATGATTGAACGGCTGAGGAATGGCTGCTGCTAATGGTTGAGATCCTTGAATATTTTCTGCTGAGGAGAGAGCAAAACGACAAGTAGGACAGGAACTATCTTGCTCTAGCCAGTTTCTTAAGCACCTATAATTTTTTGCACGGCTGATTCTTGACAATCTTGATAATGATGCATTCTTTTAAAGATATTTTCTAGTTTTTAGTGAATTACGAACTGATTATTATGAGCTAAAAAAAACTAAAGAAATAAGTTGGATTATACATTTGTAGCTAAAATTAAATCATTAAAATTAAAAATCAATATATCATTGTAATTAATACTAATAGAAAATATAATTGCACAAATAAATACCATTATAATCATTAATAATTATCAATAAAAAATTCATACCATTCGTGAAAAAAGTGATTACAAGGTAATTGACGAGCTATTTGTATTCTTTCCCAACAAATGGCGCAGTCTTCCATATCATTCGAATCAGCAAAGTTTGCTTCTGGATAACTGAACAAGATAAAATCAAAATATTCAACTAAATTCACGGAATTCGCAAACTTAGATATTTCTAAGATACTAAAAATTCTCTACTCTTAATAAAAAATTGGCTCTAAAATTGGAAATATCATCCATTTATCGCACCTTTAAAAATAGAAACACTTTAAGGAATGAAAACTCATTCTAAAAATGAATTTGCAAAAAAAACAATACTTTGAACGAATATGTGCAGTGATTTTTTTATATTTCACATGGCGATCAATTCGCGATGTAATCGATTTATAAAAATAACGTATTTGCATCGTAAGAATAATACATGCCATACTTAGAACAATTTGAGAATAAATCTAAAAAAACGAAAATAACAAAATCTCTGAAAATATTAAACTTTATACTAAATATATTCATAGACAAACTAACCAACATATGCGCATAATGAAAGAGATCGACGGTATCAGCCAATAAATCATGAACAAGATCCAAATAATAAGAAATTGTGATAGCATTGAATGAAGAAAATAAATAAAATATTTCCTCGAAAAGAAGTGCACATTTGAATATTATATATGAGCTCCGAATTGATAATTTTAGAGCCTGAAAAATGAAAAAAATATTAAAATTTTCTCTTCAAAAGATTTTAAGGATAAAAAATATAAAGTAATTAGAAGTCAATATATAAAAATTAATTTTTATATATAATTTATTTTTTAATTTTTGATTTTAATTTTTGATGACTAAAAAAAAACAAACGTCAGCGAAAATGAACAGAAAATAACTGAATGGAAGGAAAAAGAAAGAATATAAAGTGAATATTATTAATCCAATAGATATAAGCAATAATGTGACTGAGAGAGCGAGAATGCGTAATTGAACTGACCGCGATGGAAATGACGATGTTAACTAAAGTAATAAACAATAAAGGCATTCTGCAAAAAGTTACAATGAATAAACTTAAATCAAAATTAAGGATTAAGAAAAAACATAAGTAAAAAATAAGTAAGAAATAAGTAAATATAAACAAAGGCATTCAATGACAATCGGTTACTCGTAAAGTTCATTAAAATTAAAAGTGGAAAATTTCAAAAATTTCAACTAACATATTTCAACTTGTGCATCATAATCATTTGCAGAAGAGCGACAGTTGCAACAAGAGTGAACCACAAGATCCATACAATGATTTCTTCCAGAATTACGCTTGTTAATACACCAAATAAAAATACAGTCTTATAAAGAAGAAAATTTAACAAGCGATCGCGAATCATTGTGCATTCCTTGAAATCACAATTATGTTATGCAAAATAATTTTGTTCCATTGAAAAATTCATCCTCTCTAAATTCGTACACCTTTCTTTTCGTACACTCTCGAAATAGCATAATAATATTACGATAATTTCAAATCTTGTTATATCTCTAATCTAAGATTTAAGTCAGATTTAAGATTTAATATCATTATTCCCTCTCAAAGAAATTTCATTTATGAGAATTTCAAATATTCGATATGATTCGAAATCGAATGAATTCGATTTAATATAAAAAATAAACAATAATGAGTATGCATTTTTTTACAAAATAAAGTAAAATTTGACCCCTTAAAACAAATTTATCAATTGAATTATCAAATCGAATTCAAAAAAAAAAACATATTGTTTGTGAGATATATAAACCAGAAATTATCATTCAAGACGTTTTTTCTAACAAAATGTAATAAAAATTCAGCATTGAAATGATGACTAACTTGTTGATTAAGCGAGCCGAAAGTTACAAAAGTAGCGATTTTACCTATCAACGCAAAAATCGCACAAACGGTGTTTAGAAGGACCTGAAAATTCAACATATCCAAATTAAAATTATATCTAAAATTATAACCAAAAAGTAGAAGAAATTACAAGAAGAAATTACAAAATAAAATTGTTTCCACAAAATCTGTTTGTCTATAAAAATTTGACTAAATAAGGCTAACAATCATATTTTTAGATTGGAATAATAAACATTGATAGAAATATATAAATTTATTCCTTAATGAAAACTAGGATCTTAAGATGAAATGTTAAAACTCGTTCACAGAAAAATTTCTATAGATAACATAAAAAGAAAAACCTTATTCAATATTTTTTGTCCTATAGTAAATCAAAAAGATTTATCAAAGAAAGATTAATTAAAAGACAAAAAAAATGATAACAACCCAAATCATCGTTGGATGATATAACGAATAATAAATTTTCCGCAATTTTGAAGACGATATCAATAGTTGATCGATAACACGAATCTGTGTTAACAATGTATCATTATCACGTTCCATACTCACAAAATCATTTACCTAAAAAAAAATAACCACTGATAAAGCAAAAAAAAGTTTCTACAAATTTCGAAATTTACACTGTATATTTATAATACTTTTTTTAATAATTACTAAAACTAAAACTAAAAGCTATGATTTTTTTGAACTGTTTCATCATTGTTTCGAAAAAAATCTCTCGTATACATTTTTTCTCTTGTAAATATACTTATGAAACTCGATGTTCCGCAAATTCTGCGCTCGATATTTAATATGTTTTGTTAGAGAACCAAACTTATTGCTAGGAAAATCGCTATTCTATTTCAGCTATTCGTCTTGATTCTGTTTTTTCGAATCTTTTTAAAAATGCCATCATTAATGCAATAAATAATGAAACTGCTATTCTATCCTTTTTCTCATCTCTTGAATTCCTAAAATCACTCCTTGCACATTATCAGAAAATATGCCGTTTTTTTTAGTGATAGATTATCAGAATATTATCAATATAGTTTTAACTTCCTCCTTTATCACCTAGAATTTCCGATGAAAAATTCAAAATTTCGTCTACTAAAAGTGCTCGAACGTAATCAAAGGTTGGTTGCTCAGCTGACGTAAAAAATGGTTTGCAAGTTAGAGAATTCTAAAATTCATCTAAATTAACGTCTACAGCGTTCCTCGCGAAACGATTTCGTATCTGACTTAGGGAAATGTAATATTTTGCATAAATAAAATTAAAAAAATAAGTAAAAAAAGAACCAACCGTTGGATGTCTTCCATTGTTAAATACGTTCGTATTCATATAATAAACTGATGATATAAATAATAAAAAACTAAACGATATATAATTATTGAGTGACGGGAAAGGTATTTGATGAAGAAGGCTATTTAAGCCGGTAAGCGGGTCGAAAACAAACTGCGGCATTTCCTTTATACTTTTTCTTTAATCGCTAAGCACTAAAATATATAAACTATTTTATTTAAAGTAAAAATTAATAAATTTAAAAAAAACGTCAATTTTTTCAAAAGAAATTGTAAATCTCAAATTTTTTCGATTTTTCAAGCTTTTGTTCAAAAAAATCGACGAAAAACATAAATTTTTATGGAAATAATTAAAAAGCTTAAATGACAACAAAGCGAAAATAATTTAACTTTTTATTTTTATATGAATAAATTAAATATTGAGATTTAGCAAATTTAGGACAAACATTAAAATAAAAAATTTACTACAAACAGAAATCACGTGAAAACGTTAATAACGTGAATTGACGTAAATGTCGACGTACAAAAGAAAAAAGGTAATGCCTTAATAAGAATCAAACTCCACTCTTTTTTTCGTGGCCATTTTTCGTTATAAGTGATAATTTAAGAAAGAAACCACTTTTTCTTTTTTATTTGCGATTATTATAAACTTTATTCGCTCTATGCTCGCTATGCTTGGACCATACTCCCACCGAGTTGTTCCCCGTGAACCACACTCCAACAGACCTGTCCCCCTTGGACCATATTCCTACCGAGTTGTTCCGCGTGAACCACACTCCAACAGACCTGTCCCCCTTGGACCATATTCCTACCGAGTTGTTCCGCGTGAACCACACTCCAACAGACCTGTCCCCCTTGGACCATATTCTTACCGAGTTGTTCCGCGTGAACCACACTCCAACAGACCTGTCTCCCTTGGACCATATTCCCACCGAGTTGTTCCCCGTGAACCATCTTAACCCAGTCGACTTAACCACCTTGAAGCACGACCAACTGTAGTCTCCTTATAATCCCTAGCACCTCATCTTCACCACTCCCTTCCCTTCACTTTCGCCGATAAAACTCGTTGGTAGTACGTTTTAGCCGCAATAATGACGTTTTCATAACGCTCGACTGATCCACACTATAATACGGCTGCGGATTATTTCGTTTTCTACTTTAAAAATTGTGTCGTTGCTGGTCGGGCTGGAGTTGCTGGCTTGTCTGGCCTGTGAAACCGGAAAGTCACTTTTGCCAGCGAAGCGTTTGGCGATAGAAGCCAGCGAATTATGGTAAATTATAAGTTTTTTTCTCGTATTATAGAAAATTAAAATTTTTTAATTTTAAAAAATAAATTTCTTAAATTTCTTAAAAATATTTTTGAAAAATTTTGATTATTTTTGAATATCAAATTTTTGAAGAAGAAAGATTATTTAATTCTGCAACGAAATTTTATTAATTTAATCTAATTTGCACTTTTTTCGTTAAATATTTTATTTTCAAAAATGCTAAATAAAATTGTTCTTAGAAATGAAGCGAATTTTTTAAATTTGGAACATATAACTAAGAAAGAGGAAAATAAATGAATTGTTGAAGGATTGCAGAAAAATTTGGCGTCTTTGGAGGACACTGAAGGTGCATTAAAGCGTTGTTCGGAAAGGATTGAGCGGTTATAACGAACTGTGCAATTATAGCGGAAGTATAACGAAAGGTTATAACGAAAGAGGAGTTAACAGAGCAAAATGTGCCTCACTGCTGATTATCGACGTCGCAACTGAAAAAGGGACTTACATAGGAGCGCAGCAAATCGTTGCATGATTTCCTCCTTCCTCACCTTCTCATCCACGAATAATCTCATTCGGTTCGACGAAAACACCTCTCCGCCGAATATCGGTACGTTAATTGTCGCTGACTCGAGGTCTCCCGAATCCCACGTCAGACTGAATGTCGCACTTCACGCGAACTCGATACTCGCGAATTTTAATTTAAGAACGGTATAAAGCGGTGGAAAATATATTACTGATATTTTAATTCTTTAGAAAAAAAAAGTGGTTAGCATTCAGCATTTCAATTCCGCCCGCTGTTGGACTGCTAGTTAGGAATTTTTACCAGGTAAACACATGGCGATGGCAAATCGATCGCCAGCAGTCCGCGATTTTCTTAAACGACAGTTTGTTTTTGCCTGTGGCAGAACTCAACGCAACCTAAGCCATTGTCCACTCGCCTTTCTTTTCCCAAGGATTAGTTTAGTTTATTTTAAGAAAAATTATCATAATTTATTGCAATATAATATTTATTTAACTTGAAAAAATTTTTACTATTCCAAAATTTTCAATATTTATTGTAAATATCAATAATGCAATCTGTTAAGAGTAATTTGTATAAATTTTATTTAACTTTGAATTTCAAAATTTAATTTCCATTTTATCCATTCGCAATATTATTTTTATGTCAAAATTATCGAGAAAATTGTAATTTAAATCGATTAAAAGAATAAAAAAAAGGGAAAAGAGGAATATATTCATGTAATTATATCGGAGCGCCGATTCTAGAATTCTACTCGTTTCAGAAGAAAGCCTCTCTTTTCAAAAATCCGGGTGATGATGATAGTGACTTACCTACTTATACTTCAATTGCCAACTGATCCCGGCAAAATTTCTCTGATCTGATTAACTAACAAAACGAACTTAACCAGAAATGATGAGCGCATTTGGAAAAAAAAATACATCATCAGGGTTAAATTAGGGTTTAACAATTTTATTAATTTAACAATTTGTATCGAGCAATTTTGCCCGAAGCTGTGGTCGGGAAATTTTCGACAAATTCAATACCACCATCCAAATGTTTGTAACTCGCAAATTTTTCTAAAATTTATTAATTTAGATAATTTTTAATTGCAAATTTTAATATCTAAATATATTTATATATTAAGCAATATTTAAAGGAGAACACGATGATCAAATGTTATGTTGTTTTGACTAAATCAGGTCATCGTAGATTCCTATGGCTTAAGGAGAATATCATTTTAAAAAATCCAGGAGGTCAGGAGGATCTACCTGGAAAATTTGCCTGAAAAGGCAAATATTTCTTCTGTAAATCTCTGAAGATCTCTCAGTTTCAAGAGTCATTGGTTTATAAGAGTTGCTACAATAAATACCGTTGATAATAGTATGAACTGTTTGTTCATCAAGAAAAGCTCCTTGTTTTAAGGATATGAATGCCTTTGGAAGCTGTCCCGATCGTGCATCAGGAATTCCTATAACAACACATCGATCGACACCAGGGATAGCTGCAACTGCTTGTTCCAGTTCATATGGCGAGACCTTAAAAGAATCTATTCTATTATTTATTAGAACTGAATATCGCATAAGCAAATATATCAGCTCATAATTTTGAAAAATATAAGAAAGAAAATTTCTAAGTTCTCGTGAAGAAAATTTTGTTTTAAGGATGAAAAACTGAAATCCGTGCTGCTGCTACCTGCCAACCTCGGACTTTTATCATTTCTTTTAGTCTGCCACAAATGAAGAAGAAACTTTCTCCATCGAAATATGCGAGATCTCCAGTTGCTAGCCAACCATCTTCTGTTATCGATGCCCATCTACATAAAAATTCTTTTTATCAATTCTCGCTCAGATCCTTTTTAAAGCTTCAAAAAAGCCTCATATTTCACCTCCCCCGTATTTTATTTAACGATTTTCTTGATTGATCAATCAATCTTCGCAATAAGGTTGCAAGCAAAGCATTTTCGTTTGACCGGAAAGGTTCTAATGGTTTATGGTGTTTGATTTATTAATAGAAAATTTCCCGGAATAATCTCATTTGAATCTCACAAGTTTATAAGTGCAACTAGGCTGAGAATCTTATGGAAGAACTAAATTCTGAAATCTTTAATTCTCTCGATTTCGAATTTTTGTGGCATTGAGAAATTTCTTGAATATGTTTCAGTCGAAAATCGAAAATTTTTAGGAAATTAACTCGCTTGTTCAATTCCTGAGGCATCATCGTTGATGTACGTAGCCACAGTTCCCCAGTTTCCAGCGATCCGCACAATTTTCCACTTTCGGGATCGACAATCTGCAAGGTCATTGTTGGGAAAAATTTCCACAAAATTTATCTGGTTCTCGGCTACTAATTTTTCTCATCCATCCTTTAATTTTTATATTTATCATTTATTTCTTTCTCCTCTATCCTTAAATATTTTCAATCGAATAAGTTCAAAAAAAATTTTCCGGATGGACCGAGTTAATTTTTGGGGATTATATTGAAAATGTTCTTAAAATAGATTTAATAATATATTAATATATTTTTGCCAAAAGTGGAAAAATATGCGGATTCATTTTGAGAAACTGAAGATATTTGAATAAAAAAAATTAGATTAATAAAAACAAACAACCATATCTGACAATCTGATTGTTATTACCTTGCAATGGACACCTGGCAACGGAATTCCACAACTTTCTAATTTTGTTCTACTAGAAATAGGATGCATAAAGACCATCATACCTGCTTCGGTGGTACCATACACTAAAAATTTCAATTTGAATAAAATATACTTTGGTGTTCTCGATTCCCAAGGAAAAACCACGTTGCAAAAATAATGACAAGTTTTTTCTATAAAATTTGGTTGCAATAAGGCAATTCTTAATTAAATTGATGGGTTTTTTTCATCTAAAATGAGTTCGACTTTTATATTTTTTCAAGTCGGCAGAGAACAACAATGGTTTGGCAATCGTCTGATGCATAATTGAAGCAAATTGTTTAAAAATAGGGCCAATCAGAATGGTTGGTGAATTAGGTAAAGCAGAAAGTTTATTTCTGTCAAGAGGCCAAGGATTCATAGGAAACATTATTCGCTTCCATAGGAAGCAGATGAAGGGATTTTTTTGAAGTAAGTAAAAAGAACCCATTAACAACTTTATCATGCAAGCTAATGCTTTCTCATTCAAATTTCCCATACATTGAATAAAATTTTCAAGTTGAAGCTTTTTTTTGGCATCGCCAATTAGCAATGGATCGACTGGAGCTGCACCAATAAAAATAAGCCGTATCGTTGAAAGATCGCATGTTTTCACCAAATTTGAATCAAGCAAAAAGTTTAGTATTGGAGGAACAATATTGAGAACAGTTACCTGCGAATATAGTAAATTAGTGGTTCAAGCAAAGAAGACATGAAAATTTGGAGTTGGAATATAATTAGGCTCATCATCAACCTTAATGTATTGTTTGCCAAGTGATTTATTAAGTAAATTTTATAAATTTCTTAAATGTAATAAAATAATAGCAATTTTCTTTGGTAGTTTTTGTCCAAAACAATTATTTGTGTTAAATTATGGCAAAAAAAAATGGCATTTTAGGAAAAAAAATTTAGGTCTGAATTAATCCTTTGAAGAGTTCTCACCATTACTGGTTAAATTCACTCCACTGGTTTGTCGCAATTGAGCAATATGCCAGGGAATCCCTTAGCGATAGAAACACAGGTGAATCGCCTGCATCATCCGGATATTTGTACAGGCTTACTCCTGCGGGAATCGAACCTCAACATCGGCGCTCCCAATTGAACAACAACCCACTGAGCTATTCTATCCCCATTGGTTATGGATTTAGATTAATTAATTAATAATTAATTAATAGATTATTAATGATTAACCTGATATTTTGATATATCTTTAAGAAAAATCTCGGCATCAAATCTTTGATTAATAATTATTTTTGTTCCTTGAGCAAGTTGACAAAAAACTGTCATAAGACCGCCAAGATGAAAATATGGTAATACACCATAAGATACATCGTTTTCATTCAATACAACCATTCGATAATTTTCTGTTGGTTCTTCCGTCATAATCCTGAAAATTATCTTATCTTTACTGAAAGTTCAGCCACTTTAAGAAGTGATCTAATTTACTACAAATAATAGGATGACTAGAGTGAACGTGCTATTAAGAATGGAATCTTCGCAGTGGTGATGGCATCCCGGATTCTCTAATTATGACCTTATCTTAGCAGTTAGTGAAATCGAAAATATGAATTATGTGCCAAGAATATAAAGTTTTAGGCAAAATGTTTGTAATTTTGATAAGATCGAGATAAAAATATATTTACTTAACAGTCAAAAAAAGTTAGAATCCATGCAGTAAATTGATTGGTATAAATTGTTGTTTACCGGGTTATTTCGATATTAGCTATTAAGGCTCTATGATCAAGTACGATTTTCTTTGGCGGTCCTGTTGTGCCAGAAGAGATAAAAATCATTGCCTAAATGAGCATATTATTAGCATGTCTTCTGTTTGATTTATTCGTGCAGATGTTGATAAAAATTTATAAAAATGCTCAAAACATTGTTCATACCGGTGTGTTCCCGTTAAAATCAATTGAACTGAATGGAACTTCATCATGGAAAGATTCCACTTTTTTATCAGTCTTCTGCGCAATAAAACTTTGTAATCCAAAATATTTCAGTGAATTTTTATACGAATCCAAAACCACAATAATCTGAAAGATGATCAAAATGTAATGCAAAATCACGCTAACAGAAAAGGGAATGAAACAAATTTCTGAGAACTTCTATTCAATGTGTTCATCGTTGTCCTTTTTAGCTTAAACATATGGCTAACAAATTTGCTCGATTTACATAATTGGATAACCAAATACCGGTGCATTAGGTAGATCCATGGCAAGGATTTTTTCAATATACAATTCTTCCGTTAGAATCCATTTAACATCGACGTCTCGAAAATATTCTTGGACCTCGTCTGAAACTCTTCGTTGAAAATTTGAAACCAAAAATGGAATCATATGGTGAAAAAATGTGTAATGTGGTTTTCAATGGTGCTTTCCTGAACAAATCGTTCATTTTCTTCCAAAGGACAAACGTTCATGAAAACTGTAAGGCATAACAGAATTAAATAAAAAGTATAACAATTATACAACCAATAAGATAGATAAATAAGAGCGATGGTAATTGAAGGCTTAAAGGCTTGCATGGTTTAAAGGCTGGATTCAGTGGAAAAACTGTTAGTCTATTAGCCATCGCAGCAAGGCAGAACATAAGGAAATCCGATGAGTTCCCTGCATAGGTACCAACTGTTGCATCTTCCATGCCTACACGAATTAGCGCAGACCGCATTTGAGCTATTCGATTATGCATATCGCGACAGTTCAAAGTCACTTCCGTGCGTGGCTCCACATGAAATTCACTATTTCCATTCAAAACTGAATTTTATCCATAAAATAAATTTTAATTTCTAATTTTTTCATATTTTTTCATTTATGTTTCGGTGAAAGTTTTTTTTAAAGGAAAAAATAGTACCAACAAAATGTGATTACTGTCGTATTTTCGAACTTTTTCGAGGAAGTAATCACAAAACGATTTATTCGTGATTGGTGATGGACTGGTGAATGCACTTCTGATAATTTTCGATTCATTCATTATTATTAACTAAAATTCTTGAAATAGTAAATATTTTATAATAATATAAGGGACGATCGCATGACAAATGGACGCATTTTTTCGTAAGGAGTGAAAAGAAGGATTCTCGCGATATTGCATATTTTCGACGGGGAAAAATTAGGAACCACCGCTTTATAGTCGCGGAATCATACTGTACCATATTTCACCAAAACTGTTCACCATTATAGAAAAACTCTTAAACATCGAGATTTTTCTCGCTCTCCTCACCTTATTCTTAAGTCACCATGAAAGCAATGTCATCTGAAGTGAAATCCCCGCTAAACGCGCTCGCATTCAAGGGAATTTGTGGCGGACAGGTTGGCCGAACTGTGGATGGCTTAAAGCAGAAGAAGAAATGCTGGAAAAAGGCGAGAAGGATGAGAGGAAACGGTTTTGTTTCAATCATCGGCAAGGAAATATATTTTCGCAATATTTTCCTTCAATCTTCAAATGTTAAATAATTGCTGCTAATCGGCGTATCGCGTTAAACCAACACCAATTATCGCAGTTCGCATCTCATAAAGGTCCACTAAGCACCAACTGCAAGTTTAACAAGTTTACTCGATTGAGAATCAAAAGCGAACCGAATTTGCGATGCTCGAGGCGTTCGTTCATGAATCACCGGTAATATAGTAAATTTTTTTAGCTGTAAGTTTTCATCGCAGAAATTTTTGTTCATAATTTTAAATATTTTATTCATGATATTATCCCTGCTTGGCTGGTTTTCAATAAATAAATATTAAATGTTTAAAGATTATTTGTGATAAGGCCATTTTCGATGTTATCAGTACGGTTATCACTATCTGCAAGTGCTGCGTAATATATTGTGCGGGAAAATCTGGAGTTGAAACTGATAGCTTTAAATGAATAACGGTTTGCAAATTTCAATATCAAGAATTTAAAGTTCTCTCTCCCTACTATATATTATATATTATATTTGGCTATAAAAGTTTAAAAATTGAAAATGAGTCTTAGAAAGATTGTTTGCGAACGGTAGTAGTAAGTGTGATAAATTAGTGGTAGTAGTGAGTGCGCCATTAGAAATGTCATATATTTCTGAGTCCTGATAAGGTTAAAGGTGGTTGCAGTGGTCCATTCCATATATCGGTCTATTCTAGCTTCCGTCTATGTTAAAGGGTATAGGTGGCGGTAAATGTATAGGAAATGGCGTTTCACCAATTTCAAATTAGGATTCGGAAGTGCATTTGTTCTGCAGCAGGGAGAATTTTTCAAGTTCATGAATGTGGTTGATAGTTATTATAAACTTACCGAAGGATTTTAATGGCTTTGGACCAAGGGAGAAAGATCGAGCTATTATTTTTGAGTAAAAAATACTGTCTTCCTTCCTTAAGGCCGTTTTCATCATTTATTTTAAATTTGGTGGAAAAAGTGGAAGCGATTTGTATATTTTTCAGCAAAATTGTATCGTCATTTTGGAATCTCTTTTTTTCTTTGTTCTTAAAATCTATTTATTTTTACAGATTTTGTTATTTTTATATAATGTCGTCAAACGATAAATCGGATCAGTCTTCCGATGGTGATGATGATGGTGATTTCATTCCATCAGAAACTGACGACGATGAAGAAGGCAACCATTCATTGTTAGTAAATTTTTTGAATTTTTTCTTTAAGGCTCTTTCCGTTCGGGAAATGCATTTTCTATTAAGGGTTTAACTAGCTTTTCAAATAAGGGTTTAATTTTTATAGATAACTCCTTTAAAAATTATAGAACTGTTTCAGCGCAAAATTGGAAGAAGACTGCATAGTCCATGAAGATGATGAAAAAAGAAAAGAAAGACTAAGTATTATGTTCAAAAACTTCATTTCTGAAGTCGAACCGATTACTTCATCGGAAAAAATGTTTAAGTAATTATAATTAATTTAAGTAATTATATAACTTTAATGAAAATAATGCTAAAAAAAATAATAATGAAACTTTAATGAAATTTAACATTTTAATTATTTTAAATGTGTACTAAATATTAACCATTAACTATGATAATCTCAGCCATATGTTTTAGCTGGATTCTTCCTTTATGTCCAGGAATAAAGCTCTGAATGCCCTCATGCAAGGCTCTTACATAAAAATACATAAAAATAGCTACAGATAAAATTTGCAGCATAGTGGGATGGACTGCTAATCACTTTGAGTAAATTAAGAAAAAAGTTTTTATATTTGCGAAAAATCTTCTGTCATTATCTTTTTCTAGTGAGTCAAAGAAGGCAAACAATTTTGATATCATTTCACCGAAAAATCACTTCGCTACTGTTCAAAATAAGCAATCATTATTTGATAAAAAAACTGCCACAACTGAAGAAAATTTTTTGGAAGATATAAAGTAAATTTATTACTTTCCAAACATTCACATGTTATTCACAAAATGGTTTGTTCTCACTTTTGAAGGAATTGTATCTATCATATTTATTTATTTTTATTTCGAATATTCGACGGATTTTTTATCTAAAAATTATAGGCCTTCTACCACAATGCATACACCTTCAGAATGTAAAGTCAATACTATAAATGAAAAGGCAGGTGTGCAGAACAAAAAGTTGGTTACCATGTTTTGATTTTCAATTTTTAATCTCAATTATAAATAAATTTTTGAATTTTTAAAAATTTGGAATACCATATCTCGATGAAGAATAAATGAATAAGAATGTGATAAACGAAAAAGATCTGAAGGAAAACCGAGTGAAAGGGAAAAAATCCAGTAGCTAGTATTACTCGGTGTCACTTTTTTTCTTATATAAAATTTAAATATAAAAAATGCAATTCTTTCTCCTCTCCTTCCATATAGTAGAAAAAAATTTTATAGGGACGTTTTGTTAAGAAAACCTTCAGTTCAAATTCCTAAATTTATATTTATGATATAATGATAACTGATATTTAAAGGCGATCATCGAGTGGATTGGATAATGCCATCCGCTGTCTATCAAAAAAGTCAAAAATGAATGTTCTCGAAAGGACGCAGCAAGATTGGCAAGAATTCAAAAATGGAGCTGGGATAGTTGTAAGTAAAATTCTTTATCTATTTAAGATGAATTATGATTAGATGATAATTAGCATCCATCATTTAGACCTTCCACTGGGTGTTAGGGTGGATATTGTTGCCAGAATCACTAGAGGAGAGAGATGCAAATAGATGTGCATCATCCGGATGGTAAGTCAACCCCTATGAGGAGCAGGAATTGTACCATGTTACTTGTGGTTTGAAGCACACCTGGGCCCATTGTTTTTTTAAATGACATGCAGATCCTTGTTTTCTCTTTTGATTTATCAGTTAATATCATGCTTTTTTATTTTTAGGAGGAACTGGATAACCATAATCGTGGCAAATGTGGTTACATCGATAGGATGGCATTTCTGAATCGTGCCGACCTTCGAACTTTTGAACTAGAAAGGAACGCACGTAATGTTGTCCGAAATAAGAAGAAATGATCAAATAAATCACACTATTTATATGACGAAATTTTGCATGAAATATTGCTGTGCTTAATGAGAGTAGCCCTATAGATTCTGGTTAAAGGAAACAGATGATGCAGGCAAGAAATTGAATTTGTTATGTACGATTCTTCAGTAGAAATACATATAATTGGCACTAACTGAGATTTATATAAATTGCGAAGGTTTTCGATAAAAGGACTCATTTTTCAAAAATAACAATGCAAGAACAATCAGAATCTTTTCAGAATATACTTATATAATATAATATGTTTCACAGGCTTATGTTCCAATGTACTTGTATAAAGAATCAAAATTGTCGCAAAAATGTTATCCAAAATTTCATGGAAATAATCTTAAATCACAATCAATAAAGAACAAATTAAATATCGATAACAGCGGGTTTGGAACTTTGGCGTAACTGAGAGGCAATTCTATCCAAGTCCTTGCGGCCCTGCATTTTTATTCATTTAAATTTTTTGTTCAAAACACTTATTTAAGCGAAAAAAATGAAGATAAATAAATTTAAATGAAGATAAATTTAATGAAACATTTATAAAAAAGTTGTTTAACCTGACCTGTTTAGATAATATACGACCTTTTCCACGTGGATTCTTTTCCACCCATTTAATAGCTTCTAATGTCTGAAGTGCTTTCCTAATAACGCAACCTGAAGCTTTTGTAAAATGGTTTGGTGTAACTCCTCGTCGTTTATTGCCACCATACACACGTCGAAGTGCGCCAATACCTTAACGCAGTTGATAAATAATATTTCTTAAATTTTCTAACTTAATCGCAACAAAGAAATAACAGCTTTTTCCATTAATGTTCCTAGTTCTTCATCAAAGCCGCCTAGCATTTTATTGAATTAATGGTAATCATTCATATTCATACCCTCAGAACTACTCGAAGTGAGGAAGATGAACCTCCAACAAGCAGGTGACATCCACACGATATGTTCACATAGGAATGGGGGTTAGCCAAACTAAGAATGGTACGCGCTGTTAGGATAAAGCCAGAAAGAAACTGGGAGTAAGTGAAGAGCAATGTTTAAGACCTTAACTCAATAAATTCAATAAAGAAGAAAAAATAAAGTACTCTGAAAATGTACCAGTAGGAGAACGAATATAAAGACGACGAGCAATACTTGCAGTACGAATATAATACCAATCGGAGTCGATGGGAGCTAATTCTTTATTACTTCCAAGTTTCACAAGGTCCGCCCATTCCGGCACCTTCACTTTGCCACTTTTCTTTAGGAATATGGCGATCTGTCGAACTATTTCTTGCTGATCAACATCTTTTACGCTTGTTGCTTTTACCATTTCTTGTTAATTTATTAGCTTCACCAGTTCTGAAAGTTGTTAAATAAGCCCGAGCCCAAGTTACTCAGCCGCCTCGTCCTCCTAATATCTTCAGATCTTCTCCCCAACCCAACCATCTTCAAACCCTCTCCTCCACAACAACCCTCTCAGTATAAAAGTATAAAACTCAAATTAGGCTGCAACATCACGGTTTTGTCAGCGAGGGGCCGATATCTAGAGTAAACAAAAATCGTTTCAAGATATTATTTCAAAACTAACAGCTGAAAATTCTCATCGTTACTCGTAGATTGTTTTCATAATTTTAATGCAACTTTATTGCGTGATTTATTAATATTATTAATATTTATTCTTGGAATTGATTATAAAGAAGTTTGAAAAATTAAATTTTAATTCATTTGGAAATAATTCGCTTTTTTCAGAAATCGTCGCTTTATAATTTTTTATTGATATTATTTCTATTATTTGAAAAATTTTTGTAAAAAATCGAATTTTTTGTTTGAATTTATTAAATTAATTTCAATGATGAAAAAATTTTTCTATAATCGTTTCAATTTCTGTGAATTTACTTAAACCAAAAACAAATTAAAATATATTTTTTAAATTTTAGCAAAAGCGTATGAATTTGAAAATTATAGACGAAGAAAAAGATTCATAACGATTGCTAATATAAATAAATCGACTGAATGCCTTTAATTTTGCCGGGTTCTCTTCATCCGAGCAACTCAAACGCCATCTCGTGGTATTTCTCTTTTTTCGCTTTACTTTATTGCTTGGTTTCTGTTCGTAATTCGGAAATGTTAAAGATATTTTTGGCATTTGTGATTGTCTAAATTTCCAATTTATAAAATATCGTTTAATGGGGTGGAAATTTGCATGCAACTTGCATGAATTAAAATGACAAGAATAGCATTAATGGCATTAAAAATATTCTTTCGTCAAATTATGTTTGATATTGTCAAATTATGATTAAAGCCACGCGAAATTGCTATTTGACGAGAAAGATTTTATTTATTCTATTAGTTGGAGAGATTTTTAAGGAATAGCAATGGATTACTTGCATATGGGAGTCACTGCACACTCGTGATTATTGATGTCTTATCAAAGCGAATTATACAAACACTCGAGAAGCATAATGCGGCCGTTAATTTGGTAAGTAAAAAGATGTTAAAAATTATGAAATCAAAAAATAAAAGTTTTATTTTATGTATTTCAGTTTTATTAAACGTTTTTTCGTTAAAAAAGTGGTTGAACTTAGATTTTTAAATGAGTTCACCATTGATTATTAAAGGTTTGTTGGTCACCTGAAGGCGAATTTCCAACAACGAGCGATTCTATTTTACGTTGTGCATCAGTTGATATAAGTGGTGTTATTGTTATTTGGGATGTGCTTGATGGTTCTATCATCTCTAATTTTTGCTACCACAACAATGTTCCCTTAGGCATCGTTTCAATTATTTATCTTTTATCAAATCTATGCTTTAATCTTTATCTTCTATCTTCAAATCTTTTACCATATTTGTTTAAAAACCATAAGCTAGCAAGGCTAACAAAATACTACAGAAACAATGAGCAAGATGATTGAAAACAAAATATTTTTAGTTAATACAATCTATGAATTCTTTTGCACTGAACAAATTGAACAAAAAACTAACTAAGAAGGATAATTGTCATGAAATTCTTTTGCATAAAAGAAAATTTTTTTTCAATATCGGTTTTAAAAACTTTTTTGCGACAAGTGTTAGGGGTAATATTATTTTGAAACAATTTAAGTAATCGAATGGCCTCAGTGGGAAGAAACTAATCGTGATTTTCTTCTTGCTCTCCATTCGTCGAATATATTTGTTTTATGGAACACAGTGACAGGTGATCGTGTTTGGAACGTCACCTACAGTTCTAATCTCTTGCTTTTTGCCACAGATCTGTTCAATATGAGTACTGTAACATGTGAGTTTCCATATAAATTATTGATTTCCTTTATATTATCATTGCAAGCAAAGAATTTGCTCTATGATATATAATGATGTATGATATATGATGATATAGAATGATATATAATCACAGGTAACTTTTTTTAAAAAGTAAGCTGGGTTTGACGGGATTTTATAAGTTAATTTTGATGTCCATTTAATTAACAAAATTGTAGTTGGTGTCATAGATGGTTCCTTATTGTTAATCAACGATGTTTTGCTACATAAAGCTCCTTCTGATCGTGGATCTTCGATCATTGTACTAAGTTCTCCTTCAAATCTTCGACAAATTCAGTATCATCTAGCCTATCCCAATATTTTGTTTGCTGCTTCACAAACTGAGGCTGGTTTCTTATCGTTTATTTTTCATTTGACGATATCATTTTCTTCTTTATTGTTCATTTAATTTCATTCTTTATTGTAAATAATTGCTAATAAATTGTTAGATCGTCTGCGTTGAAATGGAATGTGAATGCGTATTATGGCGCCACTCAAGCGAATTACAAATCTTTCGTTTTTTTTGTTGTCGTGAACGTGATGTGATTTGGATTATTAATTCCAATGGCTCTGTAAATCTACGAACCTGTCAAATTATTAATGATGATAGAGGAAATATGCAATTGAAGTATGAACGCATTTTATGTTGCGAAACGCAACGACAGTCAACTCATCATCGCATTACTGGTGTATCATTTTGTGGTATCACTCAGTCTACCTTAGCATTTTTATACAATTCAGGACGTATCGCTTTTTACCAGCTTGTAAGTTGCTTTCAGTTTAAGAATTTTAAATCTTTTCTATATTTCTGAAAAAAAAACGAGAAAGAGAAAATTAGAGTGCTCTGAAATTGCACAAGGTAATAATATGGACCAAGAATCGATCAATTATTCAAAATGAAGTAATTAGTTATAAAGATAATTTTTAAAGGCGCTTCTGGAAGATGATTGCTTTAGACCATATCGCTCAAGGTATATAACGGATTTTATCAACATGAATAATTTGCTTGAACTTTATCCCGCTGGAACTTTAAGGTAAGGTTTTCTATTTAAACAGGTTTTATGCAGCATGTGCCAATAATAGTTCGTAATTGAACAGTCAAAGTGATTAAGGACTCTAAACTTAAAGGTGAACCTGGATACAGAAGGTATATAACGGATTTTATCAACATGAATAATTATTGCTGTATTTTGATCTCATTTATAGATTATTGTTTTATTGCTATATTTTTCACTTTGTATACCTGAAATTTTTGAAGGCTATTGAATATGGGCGAAATATTTTCTTTGGGACAAAGTGCTCATTCAATTCGTATGCGTCATGTCGATGGCGAAAATAAATTACATTTGGCTGCAGTTGGTACAAATCAAGGTGTAATTCATCTTGTGAATGTATTTACTGCAAATATTTTCAAAGAATATCATATTCATTCTTGTCCAATCAAGTATATTTTACAAGTATATTTTGTTTGCTGGAAGCATTTAGAATAGGTAATGTTCTAATCAAATTAATACTGGTAGACTTTTCAACTTTTTTTTATAGGGATTGTATATTATTGTGCATTTTTATGAATACAAGGTATGTAATGTATTTTTAAAAGTACAACATATCATTTTTGAGTTTTTAGGTGCTTGGAATGGGGTGGAATTCATACTCTTATTTCTGCTGCATATTCCCATCCACTTAGTACGTCATCTCTTGTGCGGAATGATATTTTTGTAACTGATATACGCACAGGTTTATTTTATTCTTGGATATAAATAGTTCAGAAATAGACTTACATTTCAAATTTTTTTTATATGTTTTTACTATCTAAATTTCTTATTTTCTAGGAGAGAGTAAGAGGTTACGACCAGAAACTGAAGAGACGCCTATAGAAATGCTACGTGTTTCATTTTATCAGTGAGTCTTACCTTTTTTCAAAATTTCTAGTGAAAATATTGCTCAAGTGAAAGGTGTTGAGTGAAATTCGAGGATATTTTTTTACCGAATAATAAGTTTTTAGATGTTATTTGGCGATTGGATTTCGAAGTGAGCCGTTAGAAATATGGCATTTAAAATCAATGCGACTTCTTCGACGAATGTCGCGTGCTTGCCCAGTAATCACTGATATGGTTTGTTTTTAAAGCTTTTAGAGGTATATTTCATCGTTTCATTCTAAAAATTTTTGTTCTGATAAATATTGTGCGATAAAGAAGGATAAGAAGGATCAACAATTTGATTCATTTTTTTTAAGTTAACTTTTATTCATTTAATAAATTTTTTTTTGTTTCGTGTTCGTTTTTTCATTCTAATTTTTTAAAATAAGGCTTGGTCGGGTAAACACAATACTATAAAAAGGATCGGCAGTTCAGATTCAGTTTTTCGAGAAAATCTTGTTGTGCTCGATCAAGATTGTCATCTATATCATGTTGTAGTAAAGGGTCTGCATGTTAGAGATGGAAAAGAAGTCAATTCGCAGGTTATAATGGTTATTTGTTGGAAAGTTCTTTTTTGATCTATTTATATTGCCGAAAAAGATTCAAATTATCAAAAATTGCAAAAATTTTTGTTGTTATTCTTCAATAAAAATTTTAGTGGAGAGGAGGAATATCTTCTCTTAAATGTTTGGTATGGAAAGATGATTACTTGGCTATGGGAGATGCTATGGGTCGTTTGCGAGTTTGGGATCTTGGTAACCGGCAATGTCGTCAAACTAGCGGATCATTGAGAGGGCCAATTCTTAAAATGAGTTTCTCTAGGTTAAATGGCGATCATTCTTTAGCTGTATTGCATTCACATTGCATAGCTCTTTGGGATTGCGACCAGTTGAGTATCCTTCAAGTAATTTCTATCGTATTAATCATAATCATATTAATTATATTAATAATAATCATATTAATTATTAATTATATTAATTGATTTATACCAGGGTTTTTCATATTTTTAGTCCCATAAATTATAATATTTTTTGGGATTTGAGTAAATCTGTTGGGATTATTAGATTTTGTTTTATTTATTACGCAAGTTTTTTTAATCGATTTTATTATTTGAGATTTTAACTGTGGGAACATCTCTTACTTTATTGGATATGGATTTATGTGGTGTTTGTCCAGTAGTATTATGTTCCGACAATTCTTTTCGGTACATTCCGTCCGTTATTGTCAATTTGCCTGTTAATCAATTTGGTTATTTTTTATGGTTTTATGTACGGTTTTGTTCGCAATAATTCGGTAAAAACTCATTGCTTTGTTGAACATTTCTGTAATCATTTCCCTTTTTTCTTTTTATTATCTCATTTTAAATCGAATATTTGAATTTTTCGGTTTTCGAGACCAATTTTTATTTTTCAGATATTCCACTGTTGGTGGATGCCATTGATAAAGATTCATTATTTGATGAGGTCAATGAAAGATTTGCTGCTTTGTTTGAGATTCTTGACTTTGCAACTGATTCATTTACTTCTGCAAATATCTTTGAAAAAAAATGTAAGATTATCACAGATGGATCTTTTTCTAATTTCAAATCGGAAAGTGATTCTGATCTTATATTGAGTAATACTGATCCATGCCTTCATCAAAGTAAACACTTGTTATCTGGACCTTCTTCACCGAATTTTTGTCTAAAACGATGTCGTGCTATTCACCGTCTTCTTGGCAATAAATGGCTATATGACTTATTATCAATCATTGATTTTAAACTTGGTGCAGCCGATTTGTCGCCTCACCTAATGTTGTTCTGGTCAGGGAATTCTTCGAGGGTATCCTTTAACGGATTTATTTTATTACAAATGAGACCATTGTTTTTTCAAAAAGAAAGCCAAATAGCCAAACAACTACAAGAAATGCAGAATTTTGAAATTAAAATCTATAAGGCTAAATACGATATAATTCTGATATTTAAGCATCGTGCTGAATTATTATTGTCGTGCCTAATGAATATTCCCAATTTATCGTCGAAACAGATTGATATATTGGTTCATCGAGCCATCGTTTTATCAAAGGTTTGCTTTTTTTTTTATAATTGAGGTATTTTGTACGATTTTTTAGTTTTTTAGTCTTTTTCATTTTTTTTAACTATTAAATTTATTATTAAAATATTGAATTAACTATTATGAATTTCAAATTTTTTCAGCGTGAATGGGCTATGCAAATGCTATTGAATTCTCGCGAGAATTGCCGTATAAACGCTCTTCGTGCATGTTTGCTTGCTTCAGATGTTAGTTCAGAAGGTGCACAAAGTATGATCAAACTCGTTGCTACTGACCTTATAGCCAACAACTGTTTAACAGGCAATTCGTTTTCATATAATGGGTTTTTTTTAAGAGAATTGGACAGTTTATCGCCATTGCCATTAACTATCCTTGCGACTGCTTTTTAGTAACTAAAACATTTACCTGTTATTTTTAGATGGTGTGCAAATGTTATTTTTAATTGGACATCATAAAGATGCTTGTCGTTATTTGCAAATTCATGGAATGTGGAATTTAAGCGTTTATTTCGCTAAGGTTTAGTCATTAACTACATGAACTATCAAAAAGTTTCTATGCTGCTATTTTTTTGTATTGATTTTTGTTTTTTTTTAGATAGTAATGAAAGACTGTGCTGAGGTGCAAAGTAAATGGCTAGAAAATCTCTCCGCAAGAAATACACAGAAGGTTGATTTTCTTGCAAGCTTTAAGAAATATTACCCAACATTTTGTTAATTTTATGAACAATTTATCTATGAGCTCTGAAATTTTTATTTTGTTTTAAATATTTTTTTGATTTCTTTTGTTGGTTTTCTAGGTTCTTTGTTATTTTCTTCTGGCTTGTATGGGTGAATGGGATCGTTTACTAACTTCTTTGACAACAAATTCAAAGTGTAAAACTGCATGGCGTATTTGCAATTTTCTTCAAGCCGCTTCAATTGAACTTAACGAAAGTACCCTCCAACACATTCAAGCCAATATTTCGTAATTTTTTGTATGTTTATTTGATATCTTTTAGCATTTGCAAAAGAGAATCTGTTATTTTTAAAACATTTCAACTGTGATTTTTTTTTCACTTTCAGATCATTGCTATCTTCTTCAGTATTATGAAAGGTTTTACCTTTATTTTAAGCGAATTGTGAAATTTTCTCTCTCGAAAACAACGGTTCTTAAATTTATGTGAATATAATTCTGTCCTTGAGGGAGGCTGCTAAATGTATTGCCTGATTTTATTAAAATTATCAGCAAGCGGAATATTCCTCACCATTTCGAAAACACATGTCACTTTCTTTTAGGTTCTTTTGAATAAATAGTATTATATTAAAGTGACATGTAGTAAAACCGATATTTTGTGCTGGAAATTAGCCATATTTACTATATATTATGAATATATTATATTTTTATATGTATTTGAAAGAGGAGAATATATTTTTGCAGTTAAGGACTATTGCTATGATTTTTTTATTTGTTCTTTTATTTATTTCAATATAGATTTAATTTTCTCTGTTTACAGATTTATTTATTTTAATATAGATTTCTATTTATATCCAAATCTTTTTTTAGCAATTTGTCTCAGTGGTCATATAAATTATTTGATATTCAAATGTTAATGTACTATTTTTTAAAAATCATTTTTCAGTCCGTAGTAGTCTTCTCTTCTTTGTATATTTCCCCAAAATTTTATTCTCATTAATTATAAAAGTGGTTAGCGTTTACTATTTCTGGTTAGGCTTTACTGGCTGCTAGTGAAGAATTTTTTGCCAGGAAGTCGTTTAGAAAGAATTATCGGTTTTTAATGACTTCTTACTCCTATCCAGTAAAGTCCTGGCACTGAAGAGGATAGTGTAAATAAACTACTCGACTTTACCATTCTCTTAATAGCGGAAATACCGTACAGAATTTCGAAATAGTTTTATTTTATATTTTATTCAAACTCAAAGTTTAACTGGTTTAATTTTTGGCAATATTTGTATATTACTAAGATAAATCTTGTAAGTCCTCTTTGTCTTTTTTCTTTAAATTATGTGGTATTCTTATTTAAATGGATATTTAATATTTCCTATATTCGACAAAGTTATACTTCAATAAAGTTTGGTGATAATCTTTTGCACAGTTCAGTTTCATTTATTTCATGAAGAAGCATTAAATGAAGCCAACAGAAGATATGAAAAAAAGTTGAAAATTAGCATTTTGCTCAAATATTTTCTTAGAAAAAAAATTCCGCTATAAATTTATAGGTAAATAACATAAATTTTAGGCGATATTTGACCACAAAAAAAAACTTAGAAGTTTCAGATAAAAGGCGAGCACCATTTAAAAGTTGGATAATTAGAAGAAAATAGCAAATTTTGAATTTAAATTTTGATTTATCCATCTTTTGCATTTATTATGGGATTGGAATAAAAGACTATAAAAAATTATTTAGAAAATTATGAAAAATATATCATCAAAATATATCAACAAAATATCAAAAAGATAGTACATAATTATGCATAATAGCAACAAAAATTTTTTTATTACTAAACGCATTTCTGCAATTCATTTTAAAAATCCCTTCCTACCGAATTTCCGTAGGTTTTTGCCCATTGAACTCGTCATCACCTTTATCACAAAGTATATTTATTATAATCAATATAAAATATTTACACCAATAGGAAGGTCTTCATAGTGAGGTCTGAACAAGTGGCAAAATACTTGTGTCACGATCGTATTGCGCTAGAGGGGCTTTACGAAGATTTCTATCTGAATATTTCATACTAGAACCACAAAATGTTTTTGTATTCTCGGTGATTTGATTTTGCTGTTGTGGCGATTGTTCAACCTCAGCTGTTATAGCGTTTTCAAGCAAATAGGTTCGCGTAGCATTTTGTGAAATTTCTCCAAGGGTCCGTTCATCAAAATCTTCATCGAAAAACTCTTTCGTTAGCAAATTTGGCTTCGGAAAATATTTTCGTCGGCGAATAATAACTGTATAAAAAACAATTATCATAAAAAAAGGCACACAAATAAATAAAATTATTAAAATCGACGAAAGGTACGGTCGATGTTCGTCGTTTTTCGTCGTTGTTATTGTTGATTCGTTGATTAAAATTTTCGTTAAATTTTTTGTTTCATTTTGGCTATTTAGCGATGAAATTATTCGAAGATCAAATTTCTTGCTCATTTCATTCAATCCAATTCGTGCCAAACACATATATAAATCTTCGTCATCGAATTTCGCCGTGGAAACGTTTAACTCGCTTCGAATCCAACCGTTCTTATCATTTTCATATCCAATAATCATTCGAGCATTCGACTGTATTTCATTTGATTTGTTCGATTTCCATAAAATTGATGGTCGAGGATCGCCCCACGCATTACAAGAAAATGAAAATGATTTCCCCTCTTCGATCTCAACGATTTCGAGATTATTGTCTTTTATTATAGGGCCACAAATGAAATCCTAAAATTCAATGGATAATTTAATGGGTGTAACAGGTTTAACGGACAGGATGGCTCAGTGGGTTGTCGCTCAATTGGGAGCGCTAATGCTGGGGTTTTATTCCCTGCAGGAGTGAATCTGTATAAATCTGTATCTGTATAAAAATCCGGGTGACGCTGGCGACTCATCTGTATTTCTATAGCCAAGAGACTCCATGCATATTGCCCAATGCGACAAGCCAGTGGAGCGTGTTTAACCAGTAATGGTGAGGACTCTTAAAAAAAACAGGTTTTAACGAAGTGGCTTGTCATTTATCCTTCTGCTTCCCACTGTTTCCAGTTTTATTCCATTTATTCCATTTTTCATTTCTCATTATAATTTGTTGTCTCAAACAGATTGCGGTTATCTCTCTTTGGACAAATTTTACCTTTAATTTTGACTTTTAGCTTGAAAAACAAGGGTTATAGATGTTTGGAAATCGTTTTTTTATTTATTTTCAAAGAAAATCTAAGCAGAACATACAGCGTTTGGGTAAGAGTCAAGCGAATAAATGGTTAGTTCTGGCTGAGCCCGCTCAGCCTGTTGGCAGATTAGGAATAGCACTACCGGAATCTTTTATCCCTATTCATTGTATAATAAATTATTCCTGCCAGAGACGAGAAATTTCGCACTCGGTTATCTAAGCAAAAACCACTATCCCTTCGTCTTAACAATAACAATAACAAAAAAGCCAGTTACAATACAAATAATAATGCTAATTCGAAGAAAGGACTGAAGCTATAATTTTAAATTTCGCTGAAAATTGAACAGAACATTTGTTAATTAATCGAAAAGACATTATTAGAAGATGAAGAACGGTAGAACAAAACGACAAAATTTTATCGAGGAATTAATGGATAATATTTCGGATAATATGGATGTGGATAAAGTTACCATTTGCAGAAATTAAGACATATGCAAAAAATTTCAAAGGATTCAATAAAAGAAGAGATCTTTTCGAAAATTTTAAGCTAGGCTAATGTATTTTGTATCCCATAAGCTTTCAGTAGAGTGGAGGTCTAATTTTCGCAAAATTTTTGATCGCGAACGGTTAAATAACCCGAAACAATTACTTCATTTTCATCAAAATTATTTTTTTTCTTTAAATTATTTTTGTTGTTGCCTGAGAGAAGGAAAAAGCTTATCACTAGTCGTCCTAGTGCTAAGTGTGCTAACTCCTATCCTCAACTGATTACTCGCACAACTGTTTTATCCTATAAACAGCCATTATAGTCAGTTTGAGGAGAAATAAAGAGCGCTAACCATTTAATTAGCATTCGCTTATAAGGCAAATGGCTGGTGAGCTTAGTCGGAGAATAAGAATAGAGAAAAAGAAGGATTTTTCTTCTCAGTTTTTATTTTCATTGCGAAAATAGCCATGATTTCAGCATACATTTCATAAATATTCACATTATGTCAATTTTTCTACCGTATCATAGTCATTGATTTTGAAATATCTCCCTCAATTGCTATTGTAAAAGTGGATTTCAGAAATTATTTAAAAAGCAGTCAAAAATGAGAATTTCATCGAATAACAGCGAATGCTTTTATTGATCTAATGCTGAAGATTATTCTTTTTCTAACAACATTCATCATTTGGTTCCACTGCTATTAGGATGGAGCCATTTAGCCAGAAAGGTAAGGCAGAAATACAGGTGGATCCCTACGACTGAGGCAGATAGAAATACAGGTGGATCTAACTTTAAGTGGCAGTTTCGCTCCTGTCAAGAGAAGAATTATATTAATTATATAATTATATAAATATATATGTATAATATAAATATATATATGCTAAGAAAAAAATAATGAATAAAAATAATCGAGAAATATAATTTATGTATAATTTCACCTAAATTCATTTAGTTATCGCTAACCATTTCCCTTCCTATCGATCTAAAATTTTGTTTTTTCATATTTTATGTGTTTCCAGCAGAAATTCTCCATGAAAAATTGATTTTTTGAAGAATTTGGCCAAAGGCAACAAGGCGAAAAAAGCATATCAAAAACGGCAAAAAAACATACCTCAAGTAAAAGATAACTCCAAGAAAGTCCACGAAGTGATAGTGGAGTATAACATTGAAGCGATTTGCTAATCAATGTTTCCTTCTGGAATTTCACGAAATCTCGTAAGTGACAATCGCATTTCCATGGATTACCATCTAATTCAACAAAATTCACTTGAGTTCCAAAATCCGATCGTTGAACATATTCAAGTTTATTATAGGATAAGTCAATAAATTCGAGACTATTCGATTTAAGTGATTCATTTTCAATGTAATTAATTTCATTATAGGATAAGTCGAGATGATTTAAATCGCGAAATGATGAAAGATTTATGGGAATTGATATAAATTTATTATGCGAAAGAATGAGCCGTTGTAATCGTTTCGCTGATAAGAAACCTATTGGAAATTTCGATAAGGAATTATGTGAAAGGTCGAGATTTTTTAAGTTTATTAATCCTCTCGATGGATTTATCGAAATTTTCGTTATATTACAATAATTGATAATCAGTGATACAATATCAATATTCGTATTAATAATTTCATTAATATCGTTATCATTAATTTTACTATTTATTAATTTTAATGTCATTATATTTGAAGGAATATTTGATAATTCATTTGTCGATATATTTATACATTCAAATATTGGACGATTATTTTGAGAAAATAATCGACAACTGAATGCGAAGATTAACATTTTAAAGAATAAAAAATAAATCAGTAGGAATAACATAAATAAATAAGGAAACCATCCACAACGACTCTTCGTGAACATAAAAAAGGAATTTTTGGTGGACAATAGTAAATATTTGGAACCATGAGCCAACTAGCAATAAAAACCTGGAATAGAGCAGTAACGGGTTACACGGCACATGTGAAGAGGTGCGATTTGAATAATAGCGATGAATATCGCTAAAATTGGCTATGACAATCGACTTAACATGCTTGGTTAAATCGCCATCAACGAGGCAACCAATGCATAACCATCGCCACAATCAAAATTTTCATGAAATAAACTAAAAATGACAATAGATTAGCGATATTGAATTGGGAATGTGTCAGAAATGATTTCTAAAAACCCACTTAAATCTATTTCTTCGCCTCATCGAGTATTTCATTAAAAGTGGTTAAGTATCTCATTTAATATTTATGAACATATGTTTTATAAATTTATCTGACAAGCTTAACATTATAGGCAACGAACAAGATTGTCGTCGCTCCTTCGGTAATTCGATAAAGAACGAATAAATTAAAATCGATAGATTTGATGGAATCTAGTATGGAATTTTCTTAAAGCAAATGCGCTTGTATGGTCTAAAAATAAGCTGTTTTAGCCAAGGACATTTCTTACCGCGGATAATTCTATCGCTAAAAGCGAATTCCGCATGGACCTTTACTGAAGGGTCTATTTGCATTTCTACGTCAAGTGACTCGCTTGCGAATGTGTCTCATTTATGACGATTGGGCGACTCATATGTCGTTTGAGGTATGTCGCTTGATGAGATTATAATTTACCACAAAATTTCGAAAACGATCTTTTATTTTCTATTTATATTTACATATCAAGCGAATAAACAAGTTTCAAGCTTAAGAAGATTCAAATTATTTAACTCGCTAAAAAGCATTGTTCGTAAAGAGAATGAATCCTCTTAATCTCCGCAGTCTTCCAAGGGTAAATGATTCGATTTACAAACTCGATAAGCTCGAGAAAAGTAGTGGGAAGTTGAGAGGAGCAGCAGCGAAATCGAATTATTCCGCAAAAAGCGCCAATGAGAGATGAACAAAACAAATTTAATCAGCAAAAAAATCAGTGCTGTGTGCTGTGAAGAAATCTTTTGCAAATACCACAAATATGCCAAATTTTACGAATTTTTAGCCAAATTCAATAAAAATTATTAGCGTAATTACAAATCCATTTTCTATCTTCAAATTCACATTGGTTTATGAAGTAATTTCTTTCCTTACTTCCTTTATTTTCAAAAAACTGTCTCTTCTTCCTGCAAAAGATAGAACGGCTCAGTAAGTTGTTGCCTTCATTTCGAAGCGCCGATACTGGGGTTCTACTCCCGGCGGAAGGAAGCCTATCTTCCAAAACTATTCTCCGGCAATTTTATCGCCAAGTGGAAAAATTTGCCTGCTTCACTGGAGTGTGGCTGGCTTTCACCAGAGGATCACTTGCATTGAAATAAAGATAGCTAAAATGTAAAAAAGATTTGCATTTTTTTCATTCTTGGAATTTAATCGTCAAATTGGTGGCACAAAAAGAAAACAAAAAGATAATTATTTAACCACAGCAATATTGCTTCTGGCATCTAAAATAAGCTTATAATTATTGGTTATCTGCTTCGTATAAAGTAATTGGACTAATTTTATTATAACTATTTTATATTCTTTTGTTAAAGCACCAGATTTTAATGAATTGTAACGACCGCGGAGATTTTAATTTTAATGTCATAGTTACCAATAATCTTCAGCGTTATTGTCCACGTAATTATAAAACTTTTACGATCATCTAATTTTATACGCCAGTCGTTTTACTTGTAAAAATAATAAACAGTCCTATAAGGTCTAAGCCCTGCTAGGATTAAAATTTTTATTAAATTACTACTTAAATTACTAAATTACTAACCGTACCGAATTAATTACTGGTTAGCACTCATATTTTTCACCAGTAGAATGAGTGCCATCACTTCGTCAGAGGACCGCTTAGAGATGGAGGCACAGGTGCATACTCGGATTTTTTAATGACAAGTCTACTTCTGCTACCACAGCAGTACCAAGAGATGGTACCAACAGTTTTATGGATTGTTTATTTCTTAATAATGAAAATAATGAATAAAATTTTTAAATGATAAACCATAATACAAACGAATACAAACGAATTTTCTACGCAAATAAATGATTTTTATGTTTTCTCTTCACGATTTAAAAAAATAAATTCAGGAATGTTGGATTTTTGCCCCTGCAAAATGATTCATATATTTTATACATAAAAAATTCAAATTTGTAGCAAAAAAACTTTGCGCTTTTTTCACGTCATTTTCTATTTTTTCATGCTTCAAACATTTTCAAATATTTTAAAATTTGCCGTAAAAAATAAATATTTATAACAATAATAATATAAAAATGGTCTCAATAATAGTGCCTAAGCCTAAGCATAGGACCAAAGCTCAAGTCCATTGTTTCATATTACTATTATCATATTTCAATTGTAAAATATAAAATGATTGTAAAATTTTATTTTATGTTTAAAAACGTTGAAGTTATGAATGGTTTGTGTTGAATTGCTTCACGTGACCCTCCTGCAATTGTTTTGAAAAATATTTAAATTTTAGGTTTTTTATTTAATCTAAATCTTATTTTCTTATGAAATTGTTGAAATTTCAAAAAAAATGCTGAAAAAAGTAAAGTACCAATGTTTACAATGTTGGGCAAAAAAAAATGCACCACAACTTTTCCGAGAATTTAAGTGGTTAGTGGTCTAAGTGGTCATTCCTGCAAGGCTCGTTTCATTGGTTGTTTTCATGGTTTAATATTTATAGAGTGATTTGAAGATAAAACTATAGGTGAACCTCAAGCACGAATTTTTTAAAATAAGTTATGGATAGAGGGAATATTATGAACCTTGAAACAATAGCAGTTCAATCCAAGAAAATAATTAGATAAATGAATTTAAGAAATTTCAAGCGATGTTGATGTGAGCCATTTTCTTCCAAAATTTTTAAATTTTTTTGAAAAACTTGTTTTAAAATATATTTTGCTAGAAATTTTAGAAATTGCAAATTTACAAATCGCGAAAAAATAATTAATTCTTTCTCTTGGAACAAGCAGATCCCTTCCTCTTCTTCTTCTCACCTCACGCATTCATTACTTCTGGTTTGACTGAATATGAAACCCCTTCGCCAAAAACCAAACTGCATGGTTAGAGATACAAGTTGGTTATTCTTCTTGTTATATGAACATTTTTAGAAATACGATTATTTTTCATAACCAAATAATTATGGCAAATATCGACTATGGAACAATGCTCTATCGTTTGTGAGAGGTCGGATCGACTATCTGCTCGGCTAAAATAAATGAAAATACTGGTAAATATTGCTACTGTCCATAAAAATTTCTACAAGTTTTGGCACTTCACACGATTAGCTTTTTTCAATTTTATTTTTCCTTTAATTTAAATTTTTCTTTCCTAAATTTTCCAAATTTTACCTCTTCATTTTTGTTTTCGACAAACCTGTCATATCGAAAATCCGACCTAACCTGGGTGGCCGCTGAGGACCTACTTGCAACTCTGTTCTGCAAGTGGTTCTATCGTGAAAGGTCTGATTTCCTTGACACGTCGTTCGCGTTCTCCGACGCTCAGTGGAGTGGTACATGGCGATAAGTATACAATGATGGCGTAAAATGACCCCAAGGCTATACTGGCCTGCCAGGGTAATTGCTCGAAACCTACTAAGAGAAACGATTCTGCACGCGCGATAAGGTGTTAGTGCAACAGGTGTTAGCTGTCAGAATGCTTATGGACAATGCAAACCAAGCGATCACTGCCCACACTCTTTAAATATCGCCTGTTTATCAGAGGTCCATCTTCCCCACTTGTAGTAATTACTAAACTTGGCTCCGAGATGCTGGATTTATTATCGTGGTGTTTTGGATAACTCAGGGCGAAATGGCGTAGCGATCGTCATGTCTGAAATTGAGTGATATTGTGCATTGATTTAATGAAAACTGGTAAACGACTGTTATGGTCTTTGGTCTTTTTTTTCCAAGAGCCCTTACCATTACTGGATAAACTCACTCCGTTGGCTTGTTGCACTAGATAAATATCAGGGAGTGTATATATACATATATATATATATATATATATATATAACAAATATACCTTTGGCGATAGAAGAAAATAAGACAGGTTTACTCGTGCAGGGAATAGAACCTCAGCATCGGCGCTCTGAATTGAGCAACAACCCACTGAGCCATTCTACCCGCAATTTATAGGTCTTTATTCTATGCTCGCTTTAAAGGAAAATTCTAGAATATCTCGTCATATAAGCTCTAATTTGCAGATTTGCAGATGGTAACGCTAGTTTCTATGCGAGATTTCAATTGTTAAAATCTTTACCGAAACATGACATGGCCATAATCAAGGGAAACTGGAAAAACTGGAATGCGCACGTAAGTTATGCTGCAGCTACGACAAATTCAGTGATTGGCAAATATGGCATCGGGGCTCGGTGCGCAAATGGGAGAACATGGTTCCGACATCGAAAAAAGATATCCAGACATGTGGGAATTCTCCAGACAACACTCCAACCACATTGATTATATTTTAATCAGTCGCCGCTATAAGAATAGATATTTGTTCATATAGCTGAGATGGGCATTCTTTACGGATCGGACCATGTTATGGTTCGTGCCAAGACTAGCATTGGCAACTCCCAAGAAATAATGTCCCTCAAGGTCTTTCAACTACCTCAAACTAAAAGATTTGCGGATAATGAGCGCATTTCAAATCGAATTATTGAAGAACCTCAGTGGTATAAATATCAACGATTTTTTTGAAACGGCAAATAAATACTGGTCCAAACTAAAAGAATGCCTACAAAAGTCAGCCATTTTTACGCTAAGACATACTAATAGGATATGCGATTGGATATCGGTAGCAGTTGTCCAATAAATTCTGGATACCGGATGTTTCGA